AGTGCTTTAATCCAAGTTTTCTGAAGAGACATGATTGCTTTATATATAGAACAGATTTAATTTAGGCATTTATTCACAAATCAACATTGATCCGCAAACATACATAAAGAACTCAAATAAGGTCATGGGAAGCTCAAACATTATTGACAACAGAAGAATATCTTAATTTGTGTTTCAAATAAGGATGTATACCGAAATTAAAATTCTGGATTAACTTGGCCAAAAACCAAAACTTTTTGTTTGCATAATTTATTATAAGACTTATTTAATTGAACAAAATAACCACACTTTAAAGTAAAGTAAAGTAACACAAAAATTAGACAGAAAATAGGCATATATTTATATAATATTAAATATCAATATACTATTCTTCAGTCTATCTTCATTATTCAGTTCTATGCAGCATAATTCGATTTAACAGATTTATTTTTTGACCAATTATCAAAATAAAGCATGTGGGCAGATAGCAGGGAGTGGATCAGTGAATGAGAGGAGGGTAGCGTCATTTTACCAGCGTTGCCCAGCACGGCTATACACACCATATTACAGCACAGTAAGGCTATTGCAAAAAGTAGTATTGCAAAAAAAACACGTCCAGAGAAATTTCATGTAGGCACATTTTTCGAGAAGACCTTGCTTTTCCGGAGCTGAACACTGAGCAGTCGCTTTGAAGTTGTCTATCTTCGAAAGTGGAGCTGCTCGCAAAGTTACAAAACATGACCACTGAACGGGGGCTGTCTCACCTACAGTGCATTAGGTGCACGTTTGAAGATGAATTATACAGTTTTGTGACATGTGACATGAGTTGGCATTAATTATTTTATAACTCTAACAAAAAACTCCAAAAGAAAACTCACCTGGGCATCATCCACGTCCACTTTGAGGAAGACCACATTAGCATAGGAAGGATTTTCAGACAGACCCTACAAGCGAGTCAGATAAGTTAATTCCAAGAACCCAATGACTATAGTGATTCAGATGCAAAAAAACAAAGGTTACTTACTTTGTAAAAAGGTGCAATGCTCTGACAGGGCCCACACCACGTGGCTGTAAAGTCAACCACTACAAGCTTATCACCTGCTTCAGCCAGAGCTTTGTCAAAGGCATCCTGTGAACAAGTCAATGCTGGCTTTCATATTCTGTGACCAATACCATAAGGAGATATTTTATAAAACAATACAATGTCACTGTGGACCCTTATCTTTATACAGGGAACAACATGTTTGTAATAAATTACAAAGACATGAATGATTGTGAACCTTATCTGCCTTTACATCATTCCAGACTGTGGAGTAAAACCAGCCACTACACTCACATGCTGTTCCAGACCAGCATTTATTAGTCTGTGTATTGCTTGAAAAAATGGCTAATTAATTATTTGCTTGTTTATAGAACTGCTATTTCAAAGGAATATAGTTAATAATGCTTCACTGAAATTATTGTTTAGTTAAATGCGTATTTTGGGCATCTAATTTGCTATAATAAAATTGTTATATGTATACTGACCACATGCCCTCTAGTTACAACACAAAAACCACAATGGTAGACCACCTCAATACTTTTGTAATGTTAAAATTAGGCTATTTATCAGTAACAGACGGAATCAAACAACATGGTGCCTTTGCATGAATTCAAACAAATAGTAGAGGAAGTCAACATGATGACAGTTACCGTATTGCGTCTTTCTTTCACTGCGGCAAATAATCAAAAAAGAAAAACAAAAGTCGAAAGTGTCCAACCCACGTGATTTGATGGCGCGCTTCGTCTAATCAGGCCGCTATCACATATAACAAAATGATACAGGTCCAAATGTGATATTTTAGGTATTAAGTATAACCCGTATATGAAAATACGTTTTTTAAACAGTAGAATGAGACGACATGGCGTTATCATGAGCAGGAAATTACGTAACGTTAATGTAGCGGTGCTGCCGCAAAACTATGTAACATCATTATTTCGCGTGCATTTGGTTAATCATTTTACAACAAAACTGTTGGAGTGTAAATATCGTGATACCGAGAGTGGCATATTGGGGCAGTTTAATCATTTTTAGCTTTCGGCTGTTGTTGTGAGGTTAGGTAACGTGACGTGACACTAGCTGGTGTAAAGAACCGGTTAGCTGATAGGCTAACTAAACAACGTTATATTTTGTTCAGAATCTGAACTAGCATATTTAATTTGCTCATTTGCTAATACTTTGTGAATTCTTACACAAGGCTATTACATTTTCGACAAACTTAAATGAAATCGGTTTGATGGGCAGCTAAAGGGTAAAGGCTCTCGTGCGGTTAGTCAGCAAAACGTGTTCTAGCTCTCTAGTCATACCGCGTGAATTTGCTTCTTTTTTGGTTAAAATTAATTTGTAAATGAAGCTCTGTTGAATCAAGCTATCGCTCTTACCTGATCTTCAATGACGGTGATCATTTTATCGCTTTACTGCTGCCTCGAGCTCAGAGAACAACCTTCCTATGCACGCTCGCCCAGAAATGGACCGTCTGCTCTCTGCCTATGAAGAAGCGCGTATAGTTTACACAGCATTGATTCATTCAAAAAGCCCTGCCCATAAACGCGCTTTCGCTGGCGGACAGAGAGGCTAGAAATGCACCATTGTATGGGACCCTGGAATGTGGGAGTATACTGGACATTCTTGCTAAAATAAGCCCCCCAAAATGTTTTAGATATTTTTCAGAAGTTTGACAGAAATCTCAAACAGTTAAAACTGTCAAACAAACCATGCGCTTTGTATGATCATATAGTTGATGACATTACATTATTTGCATGTCGCATTGTTTTTTTCCTCGTCTGTTATCAGAACAGTAGCCTACACGAACTACTTTTAAAATTTGGATAAACTTTCTCTCTTTTTTGACATCACTGCGATTGACACTTTTACAAGTCACTTGTGTTGACTTTACAGTGATTGTACATGTATTTTAAAACACTTTTCGAGCCAGTGTTAATTGTAATTTGCGATTTTTGGTTTCTGATTATCACAGTGCAGATATTTTATCTAATAAACTTGTCTTTTTGTGGGGCTTTTTGCACTGTTAAAGTTAAGTTAAGTTGTGAAAGATAGCAGCAAATATGTTCATAGCATATTCATGCTGAAAATCATAAATATTTTTATTTATACTCATCATGTGAGCTCTACCACGGGTGATGAATGACATGTGTTAAAAATATCAAAATTAATGGTAAAGCAATGAGTAAATGTAAAAATAGTACATGTATATTTAAATGTTTTCATGCAAAAAAAAAAAAAAAAAAAAATGTTACCAGTGGTCACACTGTTAATATGCACACAAATTGCCCACATAGGTAATTCTCATGTCTAGTGCCATTGTGTTTTTGCTTTTTTCTGCTCTTTAGAACAACCTTCAGCTTTACTCAGCCTGTTCTGTGATGTCTCGTTCCATCCCGTCCAATCACATGTTAATCATTTTCTTTGAACACTGATTAAAATGCATGGGATGATGGTGATGAGTGTGTTGCAACAGGATCTGGAATAATTGCTCTTTGAAGTCTTTGAGTACGATGTTGCCACAGAAACACAGCTATTCACCGATTCCAGGTGTCTGCCCTATGTCTCCATCATCTGGAAAGGGAGCCTTACAGCCACTTTAAGGGCATGTGAGTGTGGTTGTATAGCCCTAAACATTTAACTGAGGCATGAACATCACGTTAAAGTTTAATAATGAGATCTTGGGAGGTCTGAGAAGGTTTTCACTGCAGGAAGAACTTATTTATAAACATCTGGTTTAAACCTGTACGAATTGGGGTAAATTATGTCTAAAGATGTTAGAAAACTATTATAAATGATTAAGCCAAATAAAATTACCTCAATTTGCTTACAAATGAACTATCACACATTTTACAATTTCCTGGATGAATGCAAACCAAAAAAACTTCAAGAACAAAAAAGAACAGAAAAGACAGTTTGTGGACTGCCGAAGCATCAAGTGCTGAAAACATGGGTCTACAGTCCATATCTCAGATCCGATTTAAAAGCCAACAGTTTTACAGAGACTATGATTAACATGTTAATGTCAGCTCTGATATCTGCAGCTGTAGAGCGGTGATTGTAATGTGGGCATGTCTTGATCATTTCATTTCCTAGGAGTTTAACAATAGATTGGAAAAAAACAATAGAGTGGAAACATGGAAATAGTCCCAATATAAAATAGGAGACAAACTAACCTGAAGGCAAAAGAGTGTCAACTGATCACTCACATAAGAGTTTTTTTTTAATTTTCCAATTTAATGTTTAATTTGTGTACTCTAGAGTAGACATGCCATAATGTGTAAAGCTATCATCTTGGTCACATAGTGCTACCTTGGACTGACCATCACAAAATATAGAGAAAATGAACAATTTTAATATTAAAAGCAATTTCTACTCTGCAAAAAAAAAAAAAAAAAAAAAAAAAAATCACTGGTCTGTAGACCAGTCTGGCATTTAACAACCAGCACATGCCAGGTCACAATCAACAGACCAGTCAAGTATCTGACAATCAGCCCAAGCTAGCTCACAATCTGTGGACCAGTCTGGCATTCAACAACCAGACAACATATTGTGTACGTACTTAAAAAGATAAGTTTCTGTATTAAAAAAAAAAATCAAAAAACTTAAAATGTGCTTGTACTTAAAATTGTTATATTTATAGGTTACACACCAAAGACCATATCATATCTTTATATATATGTATACACACACACACAGTATAATCTAATGGGCAAATTTGAGTGATTTTGAATATTGTCATATTGTGAGTCAATCTTTATCCATGACCCCTTCAGAATTCAACAAAATAATAAATGCATGTCATGTTGTCTGTTGTTCATATTTCTTTTGAAATTATGTTTGATGTTGATGACACGTTTGACATGTCTGCGAATCTGTTAAACACATCATCAAAATTCACATACCCCCAAAGCCATATTAAAATATATATTATTCAAGAAGACAGATATTACACCTAATGTATAGGAAAAAAATCACATTAAAAGAGTATTTTTTATTTAGTCTTACTGCTTTAGGTAATTTATTTAATACGTCAGCAATGTTTGAACAGATCTTTCAGAGAAACCACAACAAAATGAGTAATAAAGGCTAAGAAAACAAAAATGCACCAATGCCCAACATTTAAAATATTCCAGTGTGTTATTTACTTGTAAATATGATTGCTTTACATCCTTTGAGTGCAACAAAACTTCTTCCTTCTAAAACACTAAAGCCTGCTTATGGCATATTCTAATCATAAAACAGGTTTATCAGAAAGAGTCTGCTCTTGAAAAGCTTGTTAAGAGGACACAAAGAACAGCACAAATGCTTGTTCAAACATCATTCTTTTCAGTGCATGAATGTTTTTTTAAAAAAAAAGTACTGTTATGAATTGCAGTATTTCTCACATACTTATAAATTTACTAAATGTCTCATGTAATCATCCAGTTTATTATGAATAAAATCAAGTTTTCATATATCAAGGTAAACACAAATGAAGCCCTCGGAAACATGTCAGTTAATGTAAAATACTTTCTGCACTTAGAAAGCAGAACAAACATAACTAAGCTTTGGATAGTGACATGCTGTAAATGTGGTACAGTACGTGTGGTCGGTTATGTAGTCCAGTTGTTGCAGATAAAGATGGATTAAGGCTTGGCTGTTGTCTTGCCTGGTTCCTTCCAGCCACCAAAAGCTTTCTCCAGGTAGAGGGCGGTGGCCAAAGAGAGACGGTCCTGTAACTTACCTGTCACAATCTGTACGCCCAGGGGCAAACCCTCCTCACTCAGCCCTAATGGACACTGGGTCACTGGCAGACCCAGGATATTAAAGATACCTGCAGAGAATAGAGCCGCTTAAAGCCTAGACCCCTCTGGGAAAGTGGGCCCATTAATGCCACGACACACCAAGCCGACGGTCGGCTTCTTCTTCGTCGAGTCCGTTGCAATGTTTTTTGCAGTATGTCAACACTGTAGGCAGCTTTTTTAGTCTACTAAATATAATGAACTGAATAACAGGCTATTATAGGTTAAAGTTACATTTTATACTAAAATAAAAAAATGTAAGTAACAACTAGTTTGCAAACATTAAATGAGTTTTTACCAGATTCAGTGGATCTTGACCTTGTTTTTTCGTTGTTGTCCAGGCTGGTGTACCTATATTTAATGTATATACCTATATAAATTATAGTAGATTCGTAGATACCTATACCTACGAATTGCGACTACTAATGCGATAACACTACGAATGTGTTGGCTAGTTATTTTTCCCGCTCTTGCTACAACATGGCAGCTGCGAAAATTAATTTTTAAACAGGAAACGCAGTTTCCCATTATATTTCTAATTGTGGTATTGTAATTTAAGGGAAGAAATAAAATAATACAGACATATTTGAAATGCAGGACACTGATTACGTCTTGCTGGATGCAGGACAAAGCTCCCAATTTCGGCTGTTCTAATTCATCAAGATGTACATCATCTTACCAGAGAATTCGAATATGCAAATATTTTCATAACGACATTGTTGTCTGAATGAAGAAAGTGATTATCTGCTTTGTTCACAGTTTGTATGTACACAGTTCTATTTAAGGCTTCTCATTTTGAATTATGAAAACAGACACCAGTCATCTGATATAGAGTGTAATATCCTCTCACGCAGGCGTAGAACATTGGTATTAGTTGGCCAAGCACAACTTTAAACCCGGACGCATGCGAGGTGACACCACAGTCAGCTTTTGTTGTAGCTAATTCTTTGATGTTGGTTTGGTGTGTCGTGGCCTAAATAAGTAGATTAAAATCAACAACACTTACCAGTGTACGAGAAGTTGAAGGGCGTGAAAACTGGGTGGTGGTGTTTTGGGGCAATCTGTGGATGAGAGGGGTACAGCAGCACTCCATCTGTGCCTAGTAACTTCTCCAAATCCTGCTGCAGACTATCCTTCTGCTGTATAATGAATGAAGATGGATGAGAACTCTGGAATAGCTCAACTAGAGCCAGACCTGAGAAAGAGACAGAAAGGGACACTATTATCATATGCATTTATCTTCAGATACTCAAAAACACATTTTGTGAACACTCATCACAAGAAGACTTGCTAGCACTGAATCAGAATTTGTGAGACATGGAGCGAAAGAGCAATTCAAAGTTAAAAGTGCACAAGGTTATTTGCTGTGTCACACACCTATTGCTGCAATCGTGTGAGAAGAAAACCCCAGAATCCACTTGAACAGCTCCCAGACTGGCCAGACCTTCTTCCCGCCTTTACTCATTAGCTCTGAAAATGAGGTGGGAGGCTGAGGTGGAAAAAAAATGACAAAACCATCTGATAAAAACCATGTTGACAACTAGAACATCATTCATGTTATATGCAAAATATAATGCAAATACAGAAAGATAAAAATGCTTGTATTGTAAGAAAGCATGTGAGTGATTCTATAAATGCAGGTGCATTAGGTTTCCAAAGTCATTATTTTTTTTCTTATTTCAAATGGTTATATTTTGGATTATTTTAATAATTTGTTACTCATTGTCATGGATCACAAGTTAAAAATCACGATTTCTTGTTTTCTGAATTAGTGTATTTATTTTCATCATGAATCATTGTATAACCAAAAAGAATGCATTTTACTTTTCTTTTTGGTAATATTTCATTTATAAACACCCTAAATATCAGTAATAATTTTCCTAATTCTCCAACACTGAATTGTTTAATAACTTTTATCTCATAAAAAAAAATGTTTTTCCATTAATCTTTCTAGTCAATTCTGTAACTGTACTTTACTTTTTGACTTTAATTTGGTGGAATTATCTCCCACAACTGTAAGATGCAGGAATGATGTCACTTTCCCTCATTGATAAGGTCTGAAGCACTGAAAGGTATGTGTGCTCTCTCTGAGAAAATATTTTAATCTAAAAATATCTTGGACCAAGTGTTATTTTGTAAAATGAAAATTGTTCCCACAATATCAAAAGGAAAGCAGAATGTATCACTGATCACACAGTGGGTTTTTTAAAAGTCTGTTAATTGTGATTGCATTAGTTTCATGACTGTTAGAGTTTTGGGCTAAAAAGTTTAAAATGGTCAATTCTGTTACCGTCAAACTCTGTTACCAAGGTAGAGTAACAATGTTAACAGTATGTAACAGAATTAACAGTAACAGAGTTGACAAACAATGCTCTGAAGAAAAAAAATATTTGTTAGAAGTAAAAAAAACAAACAAAAAAAACTGAAAAACTGAAAGAAGACTGGAAAGAATTTCTGTTTGGTGAACAGTTCTTAACCTTTTGCATTGCAAAATGTATCTCCAATTATAGAATCATTCACGTATACAAAAAGTGTAAACAGGCCATTCTCTAATTCAGCTCTGACACCTAAACTTAATTATTACTTATAAAACTTAACAACAGCAAAAATATTAAGAGAGTGGTTTAAGGAGCCGTATGTAAGATTGTGGCCAAAACTGGTACTGCAATCACTTTCAAATTACTATAGAGTGGTGTAAATGAAATACATTTCTTACATACAGCTCCTTTAACTGAATAAAAATAAAGAGCAAAAGTTAGCCTTTGCTCAGTGAGAGATTGAAAGTTATCTTATGGTAGACAACAATCTTCTGAAATTGACTTCCATCTTAAAAACATGCAAGTTAAATATTTTATCCAAGAAATTAATTTAATCCATGTTATGTACAATAAGGGCATGACAATTGTATGTATATAAAAAGTGTAATGCCCCAAAACACACACCTTTCCATCCTTGCCAGGTGAAGCCATCATAGTTCCCCAGATCTGAAAGGAGTATTTGAGCTGTGGGATGAACAGCTCTTGAACCTTAACCCCAAGGTCTTCCTCTAAGCGTTTGACCACCTAAAAATAAAGATCATTTTGAGATAAATATCAACTGACTGAAGCCCATCCTCACACACACACACACCTACTTACCATCTTCTGTGCCTGAAGCAGCTGTGGGTCCACTGGAGAGACTAAATGAGAGCCCCCATTGTGGGGAACAGAGAAGAATCTCAGCTTTTTCAAATCTACTTCATCAGTGAGAGTCAGTCTAAGGAGAGTGAAACAGACAGAGTTAATTTCTCATTTTGGATGCATTTGTAATAGAGGTTGATTTAAACCATTGAAAATAACCAATAAGATGAAAGACACGCTGTGAATAAACTTTAAAAGAAAAAAAATGAAACTGCAAAGCAAATACACTACCATTCAAAAGTTTGAGGTCAATAAGTTGTTTTGGGGGGGGTGGGGGGATTAAAGGTACACAATGTAACTTTTGGCCCTCTGAAGTCGTTATTGTTGATAACAACCATCATGAAATGACCCTTCACAATAGATCATGTTTTAAATGAACTCTGTTAGAGAGCTACATATGGTAGTTTATCTGTTCAATAAAACGCCTAACGACTGTTGCCACTTTTATAACATTTCAAATCCTTAAGTTCTCACAATCTCCGAAAAGCCAAGCCAGCAGACTCTCCTTCTGTTTCTGTTTTTTTTTTTTTTTTAACTACGATGGACGAGCAAGAAAACAAAGAAGCATCAATTTCAGTTTTATAAAACACACAAAGTGGCCGGAGCAACTTTCTCTATTTACATATGTGACAAAACAATAGTGAATCAGACACTAAGACAAAAACACATTTTGGAAGAAGGATTGATGATTTGTCTTTCAATTTTCTAAGACTCATTCTTTCAATTTTGAACAAAAAAGTTACATAGTGTACCATTAATAATTTTGATCAGCGTGATTTAAATTGATCAATAATGACAATAAAGACATTCAAAAGATTTCTATTTCAAATAAATGCTTTTCTGTTGAATCAAAGAATCATGGAAAATTGGAATTCTACAAAAATATTAAGGAGCAAAAACAACATTGATAAGAAGCATTTAGAATGATTTCTGAAGGATTATGCGACACCTAAAACTGGAGTAATGTCTGCCTTGCCATCTTAGCAATAACTTACATTCTAAATTACATTTATTAAACAGAAAATGGTTATTTTAAATTGTATATTACTGTATTTTTATCAAATAGATACAGCCTTGGTGAGCATACGAAACGTCTTTTTACAGAAAAAAAAAATGTTTTAAATCGTACAAACCCCAAACTCCGAATCATAATGTAGATGCTATGTAGATATTTCTGTCATGTTGCACTTATGTAAAAAGTTCATATTTGCTCACAGTGTTGTTGTGACCATATATAATTATTTTCTAAATATCATATTATATTACTTGTTTGCATTGGGTCCTCCCATGATGCTTAGCATGGGAATCAGGTCTTCTGCATAACGGCACATAGGTCCTGTACACAGAAATCCCATCTGCAGTCCCGAGGTGGGAGGATACTGTCCATCATTACTTACGATACCTTTATATACAGAGAAAACTAAATGTAGTTTGTGTTCCTTATGGCCTTAATCAACATTACTACAATTACAACGTTAAGTATATACACAGAAGAAACAACATACTCCCTAAGTAGACTCTCACCATTATTCTACTAACCAACACAAGCACACAATTGCACCCATTCTTCTTACCTAATGATGGCTTGTGTCCGAAGATGCCATTAAAAAAGCAGGGAATACGGATACTACCCCCGATGTCTGACCCAACTCCAATCACAGAGGCACCACCACCTAATATACTGCCCTCACCTCCTGCAAGTGACAGAATTAACTACAATTAATTTTCATAAATGTTGCCCTGGCAGTCATATTGGACCTATAGTGACACCTAGTGGAGAGGATGAAACACACACACACACACACACACACACACACACACACACACATATATATATAAGTTTTATAATTAGTATACTCTATTACACTAAACTGCGATGGGTCCCACCACTTGCACTTATCCTATTGTTAGTTTAATTGCTTCTATTGCGCTCCTCATTTGTAAGTCGCTTTAAATAATTTAATGTAAATGTAAAGTGATCATCTCTTTAGAAAATTTGGACTAAACCGCTCGATTTTTATGGATTAGTTTTACTACTTTTTAAACTTTTTAAAGCATCAACGTGTCAGTTGTGTAGGGGTCTATGGAGAATACAGAAAGCTCTTCGATTTTATCAAAACGATCATTTGTATTTCGAAGACGAATAAAAGTCTTACGGGTTTGGAACGACATTAAGGTGAGTAATTAAAGAATTTTCATTTTTGTGTGACCTAACCCTTTACTGGTTTTAAAGCTGTTTTATTGGGCTAATAATAATATGACTGGATTATTTATCTTGTGTGAGTGTTTATTGACTTGTGCATACATTTATTGAAACAATAATTTTCAGTAAAGCTGCTTTGAAACAATATGCATTGAAGCAAAAAGAGGTAGATTTTTTGTTTTAAAAACTATTAATTTCTTTAGGGGTAAAAAGTTTTTAAACAATGAAACTTTTAATTAAATAACTTTGAATTCTATTTTAATGTTTCATTTTTGGTTTATTTTTTTAAATATAGCTCTATTTCAATAAAAACATTATCTTTAACAGTGAAAAAAGTGTATGCAAAACTCCTAAAAGTGCATAAAAATGAACAACCATGCCTGCAATTGTATAATAATTATGAGTTAAGAGCGATCGATCGCATGTTGGATTTTTCTGTCAGTTTTACTATGGTCAAAGTGTCAGGATGTGTATAAAAATGACCTGAGCTGCCGCCTGCAATTCTCTCAAAGTCATAGGGGTTGTTAGTGATGCCATAGAGGTGGTTGTGGGACTCTAGCCACATACAGAGTTCACTGCAGTTAGTTACACCCAGTGGGATCGCTCCTGCCCTCTTCAACAGTGCAACAGATGGGGCATCAGCCCCTGAAACCAGATCCCGTCTGCTCAACAGTCCTGTCGAGTTAGGCATCCCTGTTAGGAATAAAACAGAAAGTGTCACCCTACAGACATACAGTATGCCATTCTGGAATGAAAAGTTATATAATATACCTTGCAGAGCAAATGCCTCTTTAACAGTGATGGGTACTCCAAGTAGAGGTAGCCTGTCCTCCAACACATCCTCTCCTCCTGTCTCCTCCTCTATTAGTTTGTCTACCTGTGCGGCTTCCTGAAGCGCTGCAGAAAACCTGAACAAATGAGAATGTGTGTTCAGAGTCAGAATGAAATGTAGGATGAATTTGCCCTTGAACTCCCTCACCTGTCCTTCACCATGGCATTGATAAGTGGGTTGACTTCCTGAATGCGGTCAATGTAGGCCTGTACCACTTCAACACTTGTTACCTAGAGATGTTTGAAGGAAATCAATAAGTGTTTGGAAATGCATAATCCTGTAAAAGTCACTACACAAATGTATACAAAAATGTGTGTGGTTCTGAACCTAAAGACAAACATACAGTAGAAATACACTGACTCAACACTTAGGTCAGATCTATTGTGAATATAATTAATGTAGCTAAATGCATAGATAGATGTGAACACTGTGTTATATCCGTCTGTTCTCCAAGAAAGAAAAATAGTTGTAAATAAATAAATATATATTAATAATACATTTGACAGTATAAATGTATAACAGTCTGGGGTAATTGGGGGGCTTTTTGAAACTTGAAACTTGAAAATGAAACTTAATATAAAAATATTTTTCATCAAAGCATGTTCTGAAAAAAACACACAAAAAACACATGCTATCCGTTGATGGTATGATGGGTAGGCTTTTTTTGATATTGTGTGCAAAAATGATGTGTGATGGTAATAACATTTCTCACATTCGGAGAAAAAGTTGATGTTTTTTTCCCTATTTATTAGGAAAACTATTTTTCCTAACTATTAACTAATAAACTATTAAGATCACTTTTTTCCCTATTTATTAGGAAAAGTCATATATGTTAAAATTGATATATCAACTTCTATATATCATATAGAAAACTTCTATAGTATACATCTATCCTTTAACACAATAATAATAATTATTATTATTATTTTACACACACATTTCTTTTGAAAGGGGGGGAATGAAAATAAATTTGTTTTTCAGACAAAATGACTGGCTTCTTGATATGCAGACCTGGCTATAGGGGACTTTTATTGCATAGATAAGTCAAGTGCTGCTGAGTCTGACCTTTGCACAGCCTTGAAAGCTCGTGAATTCCTGTGTGTAAATACTCTCCCACTCTGATTAACGTTACCTACATTAATAGCTGAACTATTATCAAAAAGAAAAACTGTGATGTTAATAAACTACACTGTGTTGGTAAAAAAAAATGAAATCCTATAAAAAAAAAAACCTGAGTTTTTAAGAAACTACTAGTACTACAACTCCCAGCATTCATTGCAATTCACCTCGTCGCATCTCTTCCTCCTAGATGGTGTGACTGTGAAATAATGATCTTTACCGTAGCGTCATTCAAAGTGTAACCAACATTTTATTACGGTCATGCTGTTAATTATAATGATCAAGATATAGAGCCTATGGAGTTTTTATTTACATCTTACTTCCTTCCGACGAATCTTTCGGGCAAGCTGCATGGCTGAGAGCAGCAGAAGTGGGTTAGTGATGGGTGGGAGTCGCGAAACTCCATGTCGTTGCTGAGGTGCAAATAACTTAAAAGCGGCGAATAACATCCACATCACAGCTCGAAGCAGTCGGCTTAAAAACCGCTCGAACCGGGTTAAAGCCATCGTCAATGAGCAGCGATGACACCAGTACGCAGCTTGGTTTGAAAGTAAAAACAGAATTGACTCTTTATTGCCCTCTGTATGCAGAATGGTGTTACTGAATCCTTGCACTTTGATACATGGAGACTAATGTTACAAAGGCCATTCATTACCAATCAGAAGTTTGGACACACTTCATAGATTTTATGGTCATGTTTTTTTATTTTTATTTATGTATTTTCTTATGTTTATTCAAGTGGAACATATATACTGTAGGCTATATCACAATCTAGCTTACATTTTGAATTATATTCAAATTCAAATAAATGAATGGGAAAAAATTATGGGATGAATTTAGTACATGGTTTGTGTGTGGACAAATATCCATGAACTTGATAAATGTTGCAAATATGTTTTACTATCCACAACCAAATGCCTTAACTTGCGTGTGCAAAATTCAGAAATAAATGAATGTGCAGCCATTTGTACAAAATGCATTTTTGTTAATTCAAATGTTTTCTTTTTTATCAAATAGATAGGTACATCAACAATCAGCAGCACCAGCCTTGTGTTTGTGTGTGGGTTATGAAATGCTTGAAAACCACAAAAAGAAAGTCCCAAAATCCAAATGAATCAAATGAGATCGACTCAATAATTGAATGTGTGTGTTACCTGATCCTCAATTTTTCTTTGTTGTATGCACAAATTATATACACTAAACAGAAAAATTTGTAGTTTCACCTACAAAAATAAAAAGTTTTAATCCAGTTATTTATATATTTTGCTGTAGTATCAGTTCACATTTCCAAACATTCTTTTTGCATTAATTGTAATATAGCTAATCAAGTGAGATTTTTGCATGCACAGGGAGTCTACAAACAAGTCATGGAGATCTGATCTCACAATCATCAAGTCTATATAGGATTACATAAAGGAAAAACTGAGAGAGGCTAAATCCAGAAAAATTGTGTCTCCAAGATGCTTGAAGAAACCTGCAAATTACCTATGAGAAGTTAAGACACTTGTATAAAAGTTATTCTGGATTTAGTCTGGATCAGTTTTTTTCTGTTTCTTCACGTAATCTCAGAAAGGCACAATGATCTCTTTGTAGAGAGTAGGCATATGTAGTGAAACTGGACATTGTAATTGTATTGTGGTCACCAAGTAAGCAGTGATACCATGCACCAAAAACATAAAACACTATAAGCTGAGGGATAGATAGGTCAAGACGGAAACTTCTGGGCCAACCAATGCTGGGCCAACTTCTGGCTGTGGCAAGAACAGATTTCAAAGGAACCTCTGTGGCAATCATTAGATAAACGTCTTGGACCATTTTGAGATTGTCCCTAAGCAAGTAATACCACTAAGCTGTTTGAAGAAAGAACAGGGAAACTTTGTGGCTTAAACCATGAATGCGGAAAGATTTCCTCCAAAGCAATCAGAAGGGGGAGAAAGGAGGGTCGGATTATGACTTTGCACTTCCCTGCTAAAAATTCCAGCATAAACAAGCATGAATTCCATGTTGGTCCAGGCTGGTTTGCTGGTTAGAGCTGGTATTGTGCTGGTCTAGCTGGACCAGCTTAGTCATTCTGTTTTCAAGCAAAACTGGTCCATCCAGCCATCCTCCTGCTTCTTCTGCTGGTCCCAGCATGCAAAACGCTGGTGACTGTCTTTAATATGAGATTTGACAGTTCTAAGCGGTAAGGTTCCAGCATTAGTTCTCAGTTAACTTTTTGAAGCCACTTTTATTCCCTTGCCCGACAACAGTTTGACTAATAGTCCACCAGATCAGCACTAACCAGCCTTGAACTAACAAGGAATTCATGATGGTTTATCCTGGATTTTTCAGTAGGCTTGGCTCAGTGTTATTTTTCCCGCCTTGTTTCTTTCTTCTGATTTAAAAGATTTAGATTTACAACAGTCTTTTTGTTGTGATGAACAAAAGTCTATGTCACACTCAGGGAGGAAGTACACTACTAAGCCTGCAGGAAAGAGATTGCTAATGTTCCCATAAGGTTATTAAAACATTTCTGAAAGTTCTCAGAGCTGCAAATGTTATGCAAATATTAAGGGAAAATTTCATTTTATAATTTTGTAAACATTTTGGGAATGTTACACTTTAATGTTTAACTGCCAACATTTTTGTGCTGACAGTTTCAGAACATAAGTGGCATCAAAAAAAAAAATTGTAATACATTTTTTGTATGACAATTAAGCACAAAATTCATGAATGTGGCAGGCCTCATTTCTGACTGCGAACAATAAGTGTGACTTTTTTATGACCTTTTAAACTTTTTGAATGATGTCTAGTTTTGTGTGTGTGTGTGTGTGTTCACATTGCAAGTGGCAAAAAATTGTGCCATTCCACATTCTAATTAAGTAAAAAAAAATAAAAAATACAAATTCAAAATGCAAAATTATTTGGTCTAAATCCAAAATGACTGAATAATACCAGGGGGTTAGAGATATAACCCTTTAAAACGAAATTGTAACATCTTTTCTATCTGGGTATATTAACTGAGGCTTTACACGTGATATTATAGCTGTGTATAGGCTACATTATATATTTATATTTATGAGTAAAATTTTGTCACAAAATACTTTTGTAAAATATATTTAGATATTTATATATCTCACGAACTTATCGAATGTGGTGTAGAGCAAAAGTTAAAAGTAGCAGACAAGTAAAAAAAATTGTTGCATTTTTAAAATTGCAGAATTCAACGGCAAGTTCTTCACACATTTTCACACATTTTTCACATTTTGTAATTAGGCTATAAATTGAAAAACAACGATAATGTAAAAATTAAAATTAAAGGGCAGAAAGAGACGTCCACATTTCTCTCTGTTGCCACCTGTTGATGAACCACGGCAGATTCAGGCATTTGATCATCTTTTGCATCTGAAAGTAAAAAGTTAGTTTCCTTCTCAAATTCAAACTCTGTGTTAGTCTCAATGGAAGTGTCTTGCATTGTTGATTGTTCCCTGTCTTGATATGTATATATTCTCCAATAAAAAGGAAAAAGAAAGTAAAAATGTCTATGCAAGTAAAATGAATAGGCCTATATTTTATTTGGGGGGAAATGACAGAGTAATAATAATGTTGTTTTGTTTTAATATACTCGCTTATTGAATACATTTTGTTCATTTAAACGAAAAACTTGTGTTGCTACATAAAGTTTATAAAACAGTTCCATAGGCTACATAACATTTCATTTTAAACGTAAGGGCAAATTCATTGGGCTGCACATTTTAATAATGACACTGAAGACAAAGCAAAAATTTGTTATTTATTTTGCAACAATGTTAGTCTGATTTAATTTAGATGGTACCCTAAAAGATAGTGGCTTCAGTCAGATGAGTTCACCAGAATATCAGCGGAAGAACAGGAATTTCACAACAGTGGCCAAATTGATATGATATTTTAGTTTCATTTCAAATGATGGGTTAGTGGCCTTTTTTTGTACTGTAGTGCTGACTCATGACGACGATGATATCATCGCGGTCACTGTCTGCATGCTATTAACGTTGCATCGTGAATTGAAATGTGAAAGTGACATCATGGTTCAGCAACGCCAGCGCACTGGCCGCTCATTGGCTTTAATGCTTGATTGACGTATAATGCGGCCAATCAGAAGCCCAAATACGAAAGCTCTTGTCAAGAGTAAAGGCAAATGTAAACTTATTCTTGCTGTGCAAATCTTGGCTAAAATGCTTAAAATGCTTTCCAACTCGATTAAGATAAGATTTCCATGACTTGCAGCCCGTGATATCCCATTGTTTTGTGAACACTGTCATTCTCCTGAAAGTAGCCTATCTAAATTGTGCAGAATCACACTGGCCTACGTTGTAGCATTTACTGCGCAAGTGCGCATGCTCGACGCGCAATGTCCAGCCTCGCCAAGACCTGCCCCTATTCTTCACCAATGAACGGAACGGGCAAATATACAAGCGGCATAAACGTTATACTATGGCCGAGACGGACAGTGACAGCTTGCGAACGCGATGTTGACAAAACATTGGGGATCTGCTAAATGCAACGTTGGTCCCCAAACGAGAATGTCTATTTTCTTCGATCTTACTGAAATCAGGTACAGTGCCATATTCTTTTGACAGTCGCATGGGCCCGGCGCCGTGCATGCCGTCCTTGGTTGCATGTGCACGCTTAAAGATGCTTTTATTATAAATTCTCATGTATAATATTCAGCTTAGTCTGTAAAACGGCTTTCGCTTTAAAAGTAGATAAAGGCGAAACATAAATTGCATTCGGAGCAAGCCCTGACATAGCGGTCTGAAACAATCCGCAATGGATCCTCTCTTTAGCCAGGCTTGACAGATGGTGCGGACACACCGCATTTCTTACTGCCATTGGAGTTGTTTTGCTGTATTATCTTGCTTGCAATAAGATTTTTCCATACTGCTGCTGCCTCTCTTCATAATTTTACTCGTTCTGTTGCCATTTATGGGGCTTCATTTGATATATCAGTATATGCTTCTTTTTTAAGGAGCAATGATATATTACTTATTTTAAAACCTTTTTTTTTCAGGATTTGTGTGTAAAAGCTGTTGGGAGTTAAGCTACATAATTTGGGGAGGACATATCTGGGACTGCGAGCGATAACGCACAACCTCTTTGGAGTAATAGCCTACTGATTTAACGACCGGAATAGGCTATAGGAATATGAAACATGGCAACCGCATCCATCGCGAAACAGCCCGAGCGCACTCTTCATCACGTGCACCTCTTTACCCTTCTTGGAGAATATTTAATCGAGTAATTCTATGTGTTACTCAGTATTTCACCTCATTTTACTAGTCGTTGAGCTGCTTTTTTAAGTGATTATTTGTTGTCCATCTCACTCGGAATATGGATATTTGGACTTTGGATATTTGGCTGCGTTGAAGGGACCCGCTGCCTGCCTGTCCATCATAATGGATCAAGATGAAAACCAAGAACCTTTTCATGCCCTTTACGGGCCCAATCGGATGCGGCCATCATCGTACCGGGCACTGCGAAGTGCGGTGTCCAGCCTGGCACGAATCGACGATTTTTTCTGTGAAAAAATCGGTTCTGGGTTCTTCTCAGAAGTCTTTAAGGTAACCTCCTCTCTTCTTTTTATCCACAAACGTTTATCCACTGGTTGCACCTTTTGATGACTTTAAGTTTGGCCATGGCCATGGATATACCATAAATAAATGATCATTAACAAAGTTCAGGAGGCTTGCAAAATAAATGCATTTTTAATAGATATTCACACTTTATCAACTTAACCTTTTTAATGTTTATTATTATTATTATTATTTAGTATCTGCTAATAAGTGCTACTATTTGGTGTGTCTCTAAGAATAGCACCTAACAGTGGTATTCACTGTGAAGTATAACTTTTATAAATACAAATATATTTATTTAAAAGTGTTGTTTGATTATATTGTGAGAAATAATAGTAATTCATAATTTGTTGTTATTATTGTTGTTATTATTAACAGCATACTATTCATTTTAATTCATAATTAATATTAAGTTTTTCTGTTTTGGTATCATGATCATTTTGCCAAAAAATGCCTATATATATATATATATATATATATATATATATATATCTTAGGGTTGTCAAACGATTATTCGCGATTAATCGCATCCAAAATAAAAGTTTGTGTTTACATATATGTGGATGCACTGTGTATAATTATTTTGTGTGTGTATATATATATATATATATATATATATATATATAAATACACACACATTCATGTATATTTAACAAAAAAAATGATTTATATATAAAATATTTATATTTATATATAATATAAATTATATATAAATCTATATACAGTATATACATGAAAATATTTCTTAAATATAAGAATGTGTGTGTATTTATATATATATAATAATTTATACACAGTGCACCCACATATATTATGTAAACACAAACATTTATTTTGGATGCGATTAATCGCGATTAATCATTTGACAGTCCTAAATATATATATATATATATATATATATATATATATATATATATATATATACTGTATATATATATATATATATATATACATACACACACACTGTAGTTCCTAAAGTCTCATGAACTACAATGTATGTTATGTTTGTATATAATAGAACAGTGTCATATGTGTCCATGTTAAGAGCAACGGTGCCTCTGATTAACAATAAGACAGGACGGTTCCACTCTACAGCATAATCAGATTACCAACCTGCCCTAATCTGTCTGCCTCATCACAGAGGGGTATGTGTGTGTTTATTGGCCCATGTCTTTTGCTTCTATCAACAGTTGGCGGCTCTGATTTTCTTCTTGAAAGCAAATACGGAAAAATAATCTGGGTTATTTGTTTAAAATAATTTTGAAGTAAGTGGAACATGACCACAACTGACTGTCATGAAGTTCATAGTCAAACCATCCACAAATGTAATAATTTACAAAAATATTAGTATTACATAAATAATATGAATACATAATTACATAATATTATACCTATTTTTGTTGTTTATTCTTAATTAGTGGTTAGTTAATTTTTATTTTCAAAGTACTGCAGATTTACGTGAGCATAACTAATAACTCGTGAGGTCTGAAAATATTTGACACATGACTTTTTTGACCTCTAAAAATAAAGAAAGACAGCTGTTTTGGCACATATTTTTGAATTGTCTTACAGTATAGACAACTAAAACTTTGCAGAAAGTTGAGGATGTATCTTTTAATAAATGTAATGTTTCATGAAAGTTGTTTGTGTCTTTTTTCCTTTTGCGATGTCACCATTAATTCAAATTTATTTGGAACAAAATGGTGTCAGAAGAATTATGTCTTGTGTGACTGACAAACGACTCTTTGTTAAATATGAAATATGAATATACTGTTTGTTGACATACTGTTTGCAAATAGTTATAAATCAAAGTCAGTCCGATATCTGATTTATAAACGTAGGATGATGTATGCTGTGGTGTTTAGCGATGGATCATGTGTAGAAGTGGGTGAAACCCATGTTAAGTTTTGCATGTGACGTCATTGTAATGATGTCCGGTATTCCAGCATGGTTAGGTGGGATGACGGGAAATCCAGAAAGCCTATTAGTGCCTAATGACTATTAATACTCAGCATACTGAACTGGATCTCTGTCTTACTCTCTCACAATAATACAAAACTTAAATAATACTTTAACTTAAAGAATATTACTATTGTATTAGTGTGTACAAATCCTTCTCTTGTCTATCACCACTAGATTCTCTATCCTCAACTCCTATATTTTCCTAATTTTATTTGACACGCTTCAGAGTAAATCTGTTTTTAGGCCCAGAATAAGTTTTAGATACTCTTGTGCAAATGTGAATAGTTTTTATCCTCAATTAGAGCATCTGTACATGACTAAATGACATGACCCATCAAGCACTTACCCTTTTGTGAAGAATTATGTTATATTATAATATTTTGTATGTCTATTTTTTGCTATGTATCCATAATGATGTAAATAATGAGATATATGCAATAACAAAATTATTAGTTGTGATTTTCACTGAAAAAGACGTGGTATGGAATTTCGAGTCTGGAAATCAACTTATAGATTTAACTCCTGAATTGGAGTATATATAGGCTGTGTTCAGTATATTGCAATAATAGAAATACAATCTTAGAAATATATATATATATATATATATATATTATATATACTGTGGAAAAATACATTATTAATATACTGCCTTACCTTAGTTTGACCAAAGAAAACTAAATGTTGCCACCTGCAGAGGTGCCCAAACCGTTTATTACAAATGGACAAAATCAAACTTGTGTAAGCAGTAAGCACCGTGGCCTGAAAGTAAATGCTGCATTATATCCAACAATATTACAATAATATGGACATTTTTACAAAGATGTTAACACAAAAACATGAATTAAATCAAAGTTATGCTGCTTACAGTATCTGGCATGTCGTCCCCCAAATCAAAGGTCATGGACCTTGGTTTAGGCATTTCTGGTGTACTTTGTGTATCATACAAAATATTGATTTTTAGTAGTGTCACTGATTCAGTCGACGAGGTATTCCATACATTAGATAGTTTTATCTTGTAGAGACATTTTTTGGTCCCCCATGGGAAAAAACAACAACTTACAAATCATTCAAAATTATATTTCTTTGAAAAGGAAAAAAATGCAGAAAGTTTTCTGTGATGGGAAGGTTTAAGGTTAGGGGATCGAATGTACAATTTATTCAGTATAAAAGTCATTAAGCCTGTGTTTGTGTATTCTACAGGTGCAGCACAGGATCACTGGGCAGGTGATGGCTCTGAAGATGAACACAATGGCTAGTAACAAAGCCAACATGCTGAGAGAGGTGCAACTCATGAACCGCCTTTGCCACCCCAACATCCTCAGGTATGTCACTCACCTCTTTTCCCTTTTTTAAAACATGTTTTGTTATACAAAAGACGGAATACTTTCATTATGCATGGAATTACGGCTGGGCAATATGAACAAATTATCGTATATCAACAATGTCGAGTATCATGATGTCCTTTAGGCCGTGTGTCCACCAAAGCGTTTTTAGCCAGCTGAAAAGACGCTCTGCTGAAGGCGCCGTGCTTTGGGCGCTTGAGAGCGTTTTGGCAGCGCAGCGTTTTTTCCGTTGAGACGTTTCGTTGCTATGATACAGAATATTCACAGCAGTTGAATGTTGTGACAGTTGGTCGGTGTGGTATTAGTCCCGCCCCTCCTCCACTGTGATTGGACGGCTGGGTAAAAGGTGACAGTGATGTGCGCTGCGTTTTATCCAAAGTTGAACATTTTTCAACTCCTAGCGACCAGTAAAAAACACTGGGCGCTCGGCGCTTCAGTGTGAAAAAAACGCTCAGCGCCTCGGTACGTTAAAAAACACGGCGCTCCCATTGAAAATAATTGAAAACATACGCCAGGCGTGTGGAAAAACGCTTTGGTGGACACACGGCCTAACTGTCAGTTACCAGATGATCATCGACAATATCTGGAAAAAAATGACAAATATATTTCACATAGCCCCATAGTTACCATACACATATTTATTCACATGCAGTGGCATTCATTAAAATACACCAAAAAATATTCCTGTAAACTCGGTTTTGTCTGAAGTGACCGTAAACAGGATCCGTGCATTGACAGCAGCCTAATAGATATAGGATAAATATTGAAACCTATGCATTTTTCTTAAGCTCATTTTCATTTTGTGTTAAAATTGAAATAATAATAAATAAATAATAAAAACAACAACATCAATCGGCAGCATATCGACCCGCAGCTCCTGTCCAACTACAACCAGACCTTCTTCCTGTGTCCGGCGTGACGATCGAGTCTGTCGAGTCCGCCCTTGAGGACTCACGCTAAAGGTCCTATAGGTCTGCACTACATGATGTCACCGAAGTGTGGACTCTGAGGAAGTCCACAAGTTCGTAAGTCCACAAGGGCCTAACTGAACATAATCGTGACAGATCGCCCCCTCCAGGAAGGCGCGGCCTCGCATGATAAAAAGGATGAGTAGGTGGTTTCGGAGGTGGACGAGGGACTGGTAAAGGAGGAAGACCCGGTGGAAGGAACCATAGTGGTGATGATAGTGGTAGGAACCAAGGAGGCGAGGATGGGAGAAGTGGCCAGGTGTTACACCAGAGCACAGTCAGGATAAAGGCCTATGGCAGAGTCGACAGAGGGAGGAGGCATGATGGAGTCTCAACTGACAACATCCAGGAGATGATTGACGGAGAAGCCATTGACAGTGGAGCCCTAGGTGCAGACGGAAAGTTGATGGATTTAAATGACACCGACGGTTCAATAGATCAAGGCCTGAGTGAGGCAGAGCAACTGAGGGCCGAGGTGGCCCCGAAGGGAGGGTGGAGCCAGACAGAGCCGTAGGGGTGTAAATAAGTCCGTGGCATAGGAGGGGTGATGTCTGACCCAGGTGGAGCCAGTGGAACGAGGGAGCCGCGGTGGAGTAAAAGGCACAGATGCTGAAGGCGAACCACATACTTAGGTGAAGCTAGCAACCGTTAGACCCGAGGCTCATCCACACAGCAATCGTCCACAGCAAAAGGAAAGAAGAGGGGCTGAATGGAACCAGTTTAAGCGGGGATGAAGGGTTGGCCGAATCTGGATGAGAGAGGTTGGGTGGGATTAGCAGTGATGGAAAATAATATTCAGGGTTGGAGAGACCAGAGGTGATGGTGTCAACACAGTAGATACAGGGCAGGGCTGGGTTGGGAGCATTACCTCTGTTTCCCAATCGATCAGTTATGCTTCGGTGTCCACCTCCACCAATACTCCCACTGGTACAGAGGTTACCAGCTCACACACCTGGTGAGACTCACTGTGGGGGCTCTGGCGTGGTGTTCATCTTGCAGGATGAAGGCTGGCTGGGCTCTGTGCTTGGCGACATTTCTATGGATGTTGGCTGGGGCTGGATGATCGCAATGTTCTCATCCACTGCTTTGCCAGTGACCAAGGAGGATCCATCCACCCATAGAGTGAAATTAACGTCATTGTCCTGCTCCCACACCAGAAACCGTCCATTAAGGAGAGGTCATCACTCATCACACGTCGCACAGTGGCTGATGTTGACAGGACTTAAAGTATTACGACTCCGTGCCGGATCTCAAGACACATTCAAGACCTCCTTTATCATGTGGATAAGTATCTTGAGTCAATTCTGTAGTTCTTTTTAGAAAATAATGGGTTGTCTTAACAGTAACTTCCAAAAGCCCTTGAGAAACTAAGGCAGAACACCGTGACACCAGTTACCACTCTTTGGCTTTGTTTTGGAACGCTCATATTGAGTTACGGTTCTCTGCCTTTGTTTAGCCACGAGTCATTATGAAGTTAGGCCTACTGTGCCGGTGTTCTATCAAATAATGATACCTATCAGATTGTACGGAGTTCTTCCTTTGTTTTACTGTCCATTAAAATTGAAATTACGGTGTAGCCTGTGTACATTGTACATCTTCCATCAGTCCCTGTAACTTCTGGTGTCCCCAGAGCTTTGTCCTGCACAAACGCAGTTAGAACATTTAGTATGGTCTGACTCTGAACCCGCTCCATCGTCAAACGTGCAATATCGATCGTGAAGGATATGAAGAGTTCAGATGCAAAAGCCTCTAAATGCCATTTGAAATTTTCTTCTTTAATGATGATTTTTGTCAAACTTGTATTTAAGTTCAGTAATTTCACTTAAATAACAATTAATAGGTAATTATCATTGCCATTTAAGTGAAATCACTGAACTTACATATAGTACAAGCTTGATAAAAATGATCATTCTAGAAGAAAATTTCAACTTAGAGGCTTTTACATCTGAACTCTTCATATGTGCAGAGTTGACAGAAAAAATGTTACACGTGCCATAGCAGGTGAATACAACAAAAAACTAAAGCCCCGCCTCACCTTTCGGGTACCAGACCTGGTTGAAACACTCTAGCTGAAGCAAATCTAGCTGGCAGAGTGCCAAAACATCGCCGGCACCTTCAGAACTGCCCTAAACACGGTCAAGCCGACATGGGAATAATATCACAGGGAGTGTTAATAATGAAGCAACAACATGGGTTTATACATTCAAATACAACACAATGAAGCAACAAGTGTAACCTACTGGTGCATACAACATCAGACCAGCTGTTACATGCAGCTTGTAACTACAGCGTCTGGAATAAATTCGTGGGACGAGCGAGATTTTCTAACATTATCTACGAGATATCTATCAATTGAAGATATCTTTACCGCTATGGAGGTATTTTGTATTAAATAATGCCATCAGAATGCAACCAAAGCACAAGGATAACAATACGTAGATATATAAGTAATTGTAAATCATACAAAATAAATGTCACGATCACTAGATTTTATACAGGTGTTACTATAATGATTTTGTTAATTATTTTACATTATTTACGTATTTCAGTTACAATTTTAACATACAGCTGTAATAATTAAAAATAAATGGTGCCATTGAAGAGCAGTCTGTCTGTGCAGTTTCTCTCCAACAACATCCCTGAAAAATTTTTTTTAAATTCCTCCTCTAAGTTCTAGGCAGCTTCTAGGCGCAGTATTTACAGCTGCAATGTCCCTATTTGGTCTGGTATTTTGTCATGTTTAGACTCCGAAGATGATGATGGCAGGTTAAGAGTTTTGAAAGTAACTAGGTTAATTTACAGAAGCAAACAATTTGAGACAGAGTGCATAGCAAATACCAACAATTCTAGACAAACACAGCAAGGAATGAGGAACTTAAATACTCAATCACAACAAACTCAATAATGATCAGCTCTGATGATTAAATGAATATCTATGGTGACAAATGTCTGGCGGGAAAACTAGAACAAAGGAAACAGGAAACAGACGATGAACAAACTAAAAGTCCATGAAAGTGAAACTAACTGAACATAATCATGACATACACATCTTAAATTGATGTTTTTATTCCTAAGGTAATGTTGCTATAAATTTTTATGCAATTTATTTTGTTCTGCAGATGAAAAAAAACTGTATCCTATAAATTTGAAATAGTGATATCTCCATTTAAAAAAAACATTACTATCAAGTAGTTTATTTTGGTCTGCAGTTTAATAAAAGTTAAACAGGAAAACAATAATAAAATGGTTGCAGCCTATGTAGCGGCATCTGTTTCTGAATATTAATTTAAATGCACATATTAATAAATACAAAAAAAATTACATGCATTACCATTGTAATTAAAATTATTTTATATATATTATTTAGTTATTTTGCAAAAAGTGCTTTAAATATCTCATGCCAATACTCCAATATTCAGTAAAATCTTTTTAGGTTTTTTTTAGGTTTGGAGTTTCCAGTGTTGGCAGCTCTGTTATAGCTTATTAGGAGCGTTTAAAAAATGAAAAATAAAATACATAAATATAATTTTTAATTACTTGTGTTTCTAAAAAATAAATCAGTAATTTTTATTTCGTCAGTCAGTTTCCGTGCCAGTGTGGATACTGGCATTCAACTCTTACATACAGTAACAGCAAAGCTTTTAAGTTCAAACTAACCAAAGTAGCCTAAAACCTTTAGCGTTTCAATAATTAAATTAAACTAACTGAATCGCAGGCTATCAATTAGTGCAGTCAAACTCATAATGGTGTGTGTTTACGGTGTATATCAGTGTTGTGACTATGTAATTGGATATCGCCATTTTTTTAAGGTGATTATCGATAAAATAAAACTGTAAAAAAAATCATATCGCCCAGCCCTATAAAATGCTTCCCAACACTACAATGAATTGTTTACTTCACTACTGTTTAATGGCAGCACTACACCAGTTTTTATATTTCGATATTCACTTGAGTTGAGTTGTAAAGTCTGAACTGAATGTGACGAGAATGAGATTGTGGTGGTATAATTTTTGTTTGTTTGTTTGTTTGCTTGTTTTATATATCCCATGGGGGAATTATCCGAGGTTAAAAAGTGCATATTTACAAAAGGAATACAAAAAGAAAAGAAAAAAAAAACAATCTAATACTCACCTTGAGGTCTTTCTTAGGTTTTTGGGTGTATGTGTTCACGAAGGACAGCTTCATGCTCTAACAGAGGTAAGACACTGCACAGAAATCCAGACTACAGGAGTTAACGGACTGTCTGGTTGATGTGATGATAACTGTAGTGTGACTACTTTACAGTACATAAATGGGGGCAACTTGGAGCAGCTACTGGACAGTGACATATATCTGTCATGGACTGTGAGGATAGGTCTGTCTCTGGACATTGCAAGAGGGCTGCAATATCTACACAGCAAGGGCATTTTCCACCGAGATCTTACATCTAAGGTACAGACACAATTACAATTCACTGATATATTCTATTAACACTAGGGTTGCCAACTTGAGGAAAGTAAGGGATAACCTTGGTTCTTTATGGGAAAAATAATGAACAGTATAAAGGACACTTAACATTTTGTACTGTACCACACATAGTGTATGCCATTTCAGTGTTTGCAGTTAAGTGTGTCAAGCGTTTTTTGCCTGAATTAAATGCTAAATGAATCAGATTTGTTTTGCTTAACCTTTTTGTACACAACACTCTGACACAACACTCTTTTACAGAATTGTCTGGTGCGTTGTGACAATGGTGCTTTTACAGCTGTGGTTGGGGACTTTGGGCTGGCAGAGAAAATCCCTGATTATAGGTCAGTGCATACCTTATCTTACATATAACAGAAATCATACAGATTTATGACACACATTTAACCCAGAAATACAAGCAAACTTATTACACATATAAGAAAGAATATATATTCAGAATGTTATTCCAAACAAAACTCAAATACTGATTGAAGACATGCATGAAATGTTTGTTTTTGCTTGTCTACAGTGATGGTGTTGAAAAGCAGCCTTTGGCGGTTGTGGGCTCCCCCTATTGGATGGCTCCAGAAATGTTAAGAGGAGAGCTGTACAATGAGAAGGTATCCTGTCTTTGAAAACTAACAAATCAATATTCAGCTCTGCTCATGTGCTTGTGTTACTTCATTCATGTCATGTTCATACCATAGGCGGATGTCTTTTCATATGGAATAATCCTTTGTGAGATTATTGCTCGAATTGAGGCTGACCCAGATATTCTCCCACGGACAGAGGTACATCATACAGCTGCTTAACACCACATGAAACACAGTCAAGCATAGAATCATAAGCTGGTTTATCATATATAAATCAAGCCTAGAGATTGTGTAAAAAATCACTTTATCACTTTTGCTAAATTTAAGTTTAAAGATTTTTTGTTCAAAGACAAAATCTTCAATCTAGTCTGAAAATCTAGTCTATTAATAGAAAGTCTATTGTTTAGGTAATGATAACAGAAATATTTATTTTCTAAAATTGTATTGAATTGTATTGATTTTAAAATTGAATTCTGTATCTGTAAACAAAACAAACTTAATGTAGAAATAATTATATTTATTTTGTCACTTACTCGCATGTTTATTTTTTATATGATGCATGTGCATATGAATAACTATATAATGAATCAACATCTCTAAATCTGAGCATGACCACTAGAGCACTGCCTCCCTCTGCTGGTCGAGTAGCATGTTGCATATTTCTACAAAATAGATTTTTCATAGTTCATTTTATTTTAGAAAGCAACACGTTGTTCATTATTGAAGTTAAATATGTATTTCAAGTTAATCTGTGTGTGTATTTGTATTCTGTCTGAAGATGCCTGATCAGTGAAAAACATATAAAATAAAATGTTCTGATTGACTGTAGGATTTTGGACTGGATGTGGAAGCCTTTGGGCATATGGTGGGAGACTGTCCGCCTCCATTCCTTCGCCTGGCTGTCAATTGCTGCAATGTAAGCTACGTACCCAAAAATAAAATAAAACTGAAAATTCAAAAACACATAGGATCTGTAGATCTGTATAAAACGGTTCATGTTATTCACTGAGATCGTTTGTTATGTGTTATTTTATGTCTATGGTAGATGAGTGCAGACAGTCGCCCTGCCTTTTCTGAAATAGTAGTAACACTTGAGATGAACGAGAGAGAAAGAGTGAAAAGTGAAGTTCCAGTCATCCTAGGTAAGTAATGATGAATAAATCAGTGTAATGAATTATTATTTATAATCATTAATAATTGATTTTAAGCCCACGTGTGTATATATTGTGTGTGGGATCAGTTTTTTTTTTTAAAAAAGATACATTTTTAAAGAAATTAATACTTTTATTAATCAAGGATGCATTAAAGCAGCACTATGCCGTTTTTTTTACCTTAAAGCTACACTGTGTGATTTTTACCCCCATCTAGCGGTGAAAAGTTATATGACCATCCAGTGAATATTAGTTTCTGTTCCTCTCAATTCCGATTTCGTTTTAACTCCTACGGTGGCCAGTGTAGTCCAAGATTAACATGGCTTCCAGTTCGACCTCGTCCATGAGTGTTAACTCAAACGTAAACGCGAAAGGCGAAGCTTGAATTAACGTGTATGTCCCTCTTTGGCTAATGTACTTTCAAGATGGAGGGGCAACATGGCGACCGACATTAGAGCCCCTTACCCGTATGTATTTTCAATGGCATATTATACACTCACAAGAATACTTTATTACTTGAACGAAGTAAATATACATTAATGAGCACATATGTTTTTGAAAGAACTAAGTATTTTTAGCTAAGAATAAACTAAAAGAGTTACACAGTATAGCTTTAACTGAATAGCTTCGGAGTTATTGCAAGGTTTATATGACTATTTACGGATTGAATGTTGGGCATCTCACGTCACAGTTTAACAAAAACGGAAAGCCTGCATAGTGCTGATTTAAATTGCGATGGTAAAAGCATTTATGATATTACGAAAGATTTATATTTCAAATAAATAAAAATATATAAATCAAAAATATTAAGTTGTACTGTTTTTAACATTCAAAATAAGAAATGTTTCTTAAGCCCCGAATAATACAATGATTTTTAAAGTATTATGTGACTGGTTATTTTTAATTGTAATAATAGTTCACAAAATTACTGTTTACTATATTTTTGAACAAATAAAGCTTTAAAAAAAACATACTTTTGAATAGCTGTGCATATTATATGCAAATTTAAAATATTTTGGTTGTTTTTTTAAAGTAAATTCACTGGTTTAAACTTGAACTCTTTTTACAACACTTTCTTTACCACTCTTAAAGAAATAATGTCATTGTTGTGGTTTCCTCAGAACCCATTGCCATTGACGTCAGCCCGTATAGGAGAAGAAGCTCACCATGCTATCCCGGTGACCAGCGCCTGTCACGTAGTCAGTCAGACGTATTGCCCCCTGCCACATCACCATGTTTAGGCACTCCTGCTCGGGTCAACCCATTCTCTCTTCGCCAAGACCTCAACGGTGGTCGCATCAAGCTGTTCGACACCCCTAGCAAATCTGTCATCTCTCTTACCTTTACCCTTCCACCACCTCCAGACCCTTGTGCCTCCCCACCACTGAACGGGAGCCCGGGGCTCCGAGGACCCCCTCGAAGGTGTCGGTCCCTGCCGTGCACCCCTGATCTGGGTCGACAGCTACCCTTCCGGGACCAAGAGGGCCGTAAAGAGGAAGAGGATGAGAGAAATGAAGAACTGGGAGATGGAATTCAAGAGAAGGAGTCGGAAGGACGGCAAGATGATGTGGAGGACTCAGGCCTGGTTCTGGACTTAGATATGGTGTCTTTAGAACGGGTAGAAGAGGAGGAGGAAGATGTGGAGAAGGAGGGCCTGAACCTCACAGAGCCCATGGACTGTAGTAGTTCACCTGACACAGCTGAAGGAAACGTGTCAGGGAAGCGGCTTATTAGCGGTTCTTCTTATTCCCCGTCCTTAAAATCCAATGGTTGGGCTACGCCCATCTCAAACGGACCAACGTTATTACCTCCCCTTCCCCGTTTGGACAACAACAATGGACTGCTGAGGCCTGGGCGCCCGTTTGCATGGGCTAGACTCAAAGGATACCGAGGCCCCGCCCCGGAGCCTTTACCGCCTACTAATGAACAAGACGATGTCATGTCATGTCCGGCCTGTTGTCTGGCGGGGTTCAGCTTCCCTTCCTTGTGCCTGCGTGGACCACCCCCATCGCACCGTGGACCTCCACGAAGACCTTACAGGAACTTCAACAGAGGGGAAGCGTCTGCAGCCACTGCAAAGGGACTGCTCTGTCGGGGAGCAACGGGTCTGGCTTTATCCGCTGCAACCTGTGAGCCAGGGTTACCTCTGCCAGAGGCCCAGACCTAAAGATGACCACTGCAACATCTCAGAAACTGCTCAATATTTACAACGAAACAGAGTCGGGACGCATCAGACATGTCAGTATGGTTATCTTACTGGATGCAGTGTGGGATGAACCATTGAAAAAGAGGTATAGTTCACCTAAAAATGAAAACTCATGAGTTACCTGTACGACTTTCTGTATTCTGTGGAACAGAATCAGGTCCAAGTCTTTTGAGATGTGGGTGAGTAAATTATTTTCTAGGGCTACACAGTATATCAAAATAAATTACATTTTGTGACATGGCTTAGTGTGATTGTCAAATTGTGCAGGCTACAATTTATTTAAATAAATATTATATGCATTACCAGTTTCAGCGGATTGCATTTAAATGAATACTGTGCCATGCTTTACTCTGAAAAAAGGCAGTGCATATATTTATTTGCTGGCAACTTGTCAAAGTAAAAGCTTGATGGTTTAACTTTGGAAATAAAGTAACTAAGATGCAAAGATTAGTATAATTATTTGATGGTTTTACAATAAATTAAAAATTTTACAGTACAATAGTATTATTACCTTATATTATTTAATAATAATCACAATAAACAAAACAGCACAAAAATATTGGGAATGTGGCCTATGAAAACTTAAGTAGAAAGAGATGAGTTCAATTTATAGTTACTGTCTGATATAGGTTTGAGTAAGTTAAAACTTAAACATTTTTACAATTAATCAGAAAAGTTAAAAAATTAAGTTTTCCCAAATTGTTAAGCTCTTTATATATATATATATATATATATATATTAACCCTACAAAATCACTACAGTCATTCTAAAATTACTTTTCCTCCCAAATATAGTTATATTAGTCATCCGCAGAAAAAAACAAATTGCAATATTTTGTGTAGTCCTAGAATTTTCTTTTTGAGTGAAATACACCTTCAATGCATTAGATATACACACGTTAAAAGTGAGAAATGAAAGGCATTCTGGTACCATAGTGCCAGTTCTTTATAATGTTTTTTTTTTTTTTTTGTACTGTAATTCAGAATAACGTAAAATCATCACTTTACAATACTGTCTGCTTTTTATTGTGTGCTCTTTTTGGCTCCATAAATGTTTGATTGACTCAAAGCCACTGTTAAAAAAAAAGTGTTTGTTATAAGGGTGACCTATGTGAAAATAGTGGCATGTCAAGCATTTTATGTGTATTATCTCATGTATTTATTTATTAGATAAGCATTCCTCAGAAGGACTGAGTGCTCTTCACTTTGCTGTGAGAGTGGACTAGGGTGTGTTGATACAATTTTGTGATACACATGTATGTTTAGATGCAATGTATGCAGTAAATCGGTAATTCTGTAAAATGTACTGTTTAATAGGCTTTTTTAAATGAAAACTTCCATGTTTTGAGTTTTACACAAATGAAGATGTGTAGGAGTGCCTGTAGAGGATAGCAGGATACTTTTTATTTTATCTCCCCCTAGTGGTCAGGAGGACACCCTCTTGTTAGATCACTGCTGCTGTTATTTAAAAAACAAAAAACAAATTCCTCTTACATGAGTGATGTTTGAGGGCATTTACCTTTTAAGACATTTAAGTTTAATCTAGCTCAGTTTTTTTTTTTTTTTTTTTTTGTGATGTTCAAGGTATGGAATTGTATTTGAAAAAGTAAAATAGCATCTTGCACAAAGTGTTTTCTGATGTCACTGACATTTACTCATGACGGTTATGTGACACACCCCAACACATGATCAACAAATGTGCTTTCTGTTTCATATTCAGTCTGAAAAGATTCCGCATTACTTTATGCAGGATCTTAGGCGGTCTGTAATGCTGAAGTGCAGATTAGGCCTCAAAAAATGCGTTCACTGAATATACTCATGCTTGTGAACGTACATCTGTTTATGTTATGAGATGAGCATAGGAAGTATCTGCATGCTGAGTACTGTACAAAACAGTGATCTGTACATATTAATGCATGACAACAGGCATAAAGCTGTCTAGCGCATTGAAACTTCCCTTCTGGCATCAGAAGTGAAGTTGTCTCAAGGCGTTTTGTCTTATTCGGATCTGAATTCAGATGAGATATGGATGCAATAAGTGCAGAAAGTTATATTTCTTATAGTTTGGCGGGTGAAATGTTAAAATTAAAGTACATTTTCTAGTACTAATCTGTGAAGTAACGTATTGGGCTGTTAAAGTCAGAAAGCTGATTTTGAAATATCTCATTAATTTATAATTTTCCATGCACGCAAGAGATCTGATTGTGTGTAATATATATATCACAGACATTCAGAACTTGCCTCCTTTGTGTCGGTGATGAAGTGATGTTATAGCGGATGGGGCATTGATGGATTTGTAAAGCCCATGTTACTGTATAAAGGTTTGTTTCTTTCAAAGAGAGAACCTCTTTCTCTGAAAACAAAGCACTTATCACTACAGTTACTGTTATTAGTTCTGGGGAACTGCAGCTTTAATAAATGTCAATGAGTTGTTATTTATGAAAATGTCATGAAATAAAAAAAAACATTGAATGTAGAAATTGTCTCTTTTTTGCTCAATTTAATCCTTAAAACAGATTTGATATGTTGACAGAAATGGTTATAGCTACAGAGCCGAATCATACAACAGAAATGCATTAAGAGCCATAACCAAGTGGACAGTGCTCATAACCCATTGAAGAGCTGTTGTGTTTATAGGAACGCAGTTTCCAATCCGGCATGCATTTGATCCCATCCCCCCTCTCTTGCTATACTCTCTGTCAGCAAAATGATAAGACTAGAACAAAACAGACGGATGTTTAACAGTAACTAGTTTTTAATATGGCAGATACATTTTATTCTTCTTCAAATGTAACAAGACAGAAATCTGAAAAACCAAAGTATTATCCTATCCTAGGATAATTATTATCCTACAACTCTTAACTTATATTGATTAAAAAGGAAAGAACATAAATAAAAACATTCAGAGTGAAAAAAGACGGTATCAAAATGTACACAGTATTTTTTCTCTTTATTCCAGAGCATTTGATGTTATTTATTATCTTTAAACTGATTATGTAATTGGCATGATACATTTAGCTGACTGTTAATAAACTTACATTTGGATTTATTCTGACAGTAGATTACGCTGCATCCAGTGTTAAGTACATAGATCTCAAAATAGATGGAGCATGGGGCACATCTGTATACTATGTAATACGCCATGTCACGCTGTGAGTGAGTGGTATTTACGACATGTTTTATGGTGTTAGATCTATCCTAGTACCCTAGTTATAAATCATTCACCTTCTACCTTATTTTGTTTATTCTCTCAGGTAAGGTAAAGATGGTCGAATTCTACAATAGATAATGTACAAATTCATCCTTACACTCTAGTAGAAAGACAAATACCATAAAATTTCAAATAATATCCCGGGCTTTTATGTTCCCAAATCGTCGAACTGGACCGTCTTGTATTTGAGACAGGCGTCTATATGAGACCGGACTTTATCATTTAGTGTTGAGATGTTGTTCATAGAGTCTCTAATCTCTAAAAATCTCCAAATGCTCCACATGAAACTGCGGTCTTCCGACCTTTTACTATCGTGTCAATTGATTTTGATTAATATGCGCGAGATAGAGAGAGCAAGACAGCGGTAGGGTTTGAAGATGTGAGAGTGCGTGCGCACGGCCAGTCTAGCGTAGCAGTCTCCATTCTACATCACTGACCAATCAAAATAGGCTTTGGCGGGACAAAAATTTGCTTTGGCTTCCGCCAAAAAAGCGGACGAACTGACGGGTTTTATTAGACCCAAACCTGCAGCCACACCAGGCGTGTTAGGAGACAGGCGTCTATTTGGGACTATTCTATTTATTTGAAGTTTTACGCAAGGATCCCCTACAGTCTTGTGCACAAACACTGTCAGTGCAAATGAAGTGTGCCATTTGGGACAGGGCCATGGAATTCAGCCCACTGTCTAAATGAAACCCATAATTTCAAATCACGCATCAATGTCTTACTGTTTTGCTTCAAAATTTTAGGATTATTTTCGGGTAAATAATTAAAGGTGCTTGCACCAGAACGAATAAAAAGGCATTTTGATTTTTTCTTCTTGTCTAATTTCTTCTTGTCTACTGTAGTGTAAAAAAGTTTATGCATGGTTAATTTATACGTTGGGACAACATCAATCTCAATAACCCACTTGTCCTTGTTATCTGGACATTTTACCTTAATGAACTTGGGGGGCCTAATGCATGCCATTGCAATATTCCAATTTTCTTTGAAGTGCTCCTTCAGACCATTATAAAATTCATTGATAAATTTGTCCTGATATGGCACTTCTAGTCCAATAATTTGTCCATGTTTGTACAGAGGCTCATCTCCAACACCAAAATGGATAGTTCCATTTGTTCGAGAATTCAGACATGCTGCAGAAAACCAAAATGTATCATCTCTGAATTTTTTGAATACATTCTTTTCTAAAGCATTCTCTGTGTTTACCATGAGCTTGTACTCATGCACAGGGTCAATAAGATTGCTTGGGCCAGTCTCAGGTGGAAGTATATAATGCTGTACGTATTCAAATGTTGTGCTGCTTTCATCAAAGGGTCGAGGCTTACACCAAAAAAATACAGATCTTTTTGACTTGTCCACTGAGTGCTTTATAAAGTTACTCAGGTGTTCTTTGGTCTCATTCCCAACAGTATTTGTTTGTTTTGTGGAATGTGTCAAAGGTAAAGCCAGGGATTGTGCACCATTTGCCCCATCAACTTTTGTGTACATGCCATCATCCCGTTCCTCCAATAGATCCTTCTTTGATTGTAAAGATGATGCATCATAGATGGACACCCTTCCATTGCTTGAATATTTGGGTGTGTTATCTGACCATCTCTGTACACTTGATTCACCACCCATGTTTTCTTCAATGCTGAAGTGTGCTGTTGTCTCCATTTCAGCAGATGCAATGGTAGGACTTTCAGCTGGTGCTTTTTCTTGCTGAAAATGCTGTTTTGCAGATGTTCTTACTGATTCATCAGTGACCTTAATTATGGCGCTGTGGTCAAACATTTCTGGGGATTTGTTGAACAGGGCCACAGTTTTAACGATTTGAACTGCAGGTCCATGCTTTAAACCAAGATCTAGGAAGTCTTGTTTATCAAAGAAAATGATAGAGGCTCCTGAAACATCTTCATTGTAAAGCATATCAGCATACTTCTGAGGGACTTTCAACTTCATGAGCCATTGACGGACATCCTCTCTCGTCCAGTCATCCATTATATTCAGCTTTTTCCATGTTTCTGAGGTTCTGTTTTGTGGGGAACATTCTGCATGCTGAAAAGATAATAACAATTATGTTAATTGAAGTTGAGAATTTTTACCAATCATATTATTTATATATTTATAATGTATTTAATGTGTTCATGTTGCATTACAAAACACTTTTGCTGCTATTGAGGTGGGACACGGGTATGGTTAGGGACAGGTTTGGGGGTATGGTTAGGTTTAAGGGTGGAGTAAGGGGAGGGTTAACAGTATAATTATGGATGTAATTACAGAAATGAATTACAGATGTAATTTTTTGCAGATATTTTTCAAATAAAAGTACAATGTAAACACATGGATGTACAAAATAAGTGCATTGTATCAAATTATTAATTCCAAGGTCATTTCAGGACAGAGAGTGAACCCAAAAGCTGGTATTTATTTTGATTCACAAAACACAGGTAATATAAGTAGAACGTAGATAACACCACAATCTTGACAATTAGAAACATTGAACAGTCTTTTCTATTTTCAGAACCTTTGTTCTAAGAGAACAGGATGATGGAGTTTGATCTGATGGAGATAACGAGGGAGAACAGGGCGGGAGAGTGAGAAGGAGGTAAAACGGAGGTTTTCATTTTAAAGGATAAGTAGGTTTCTGATAAAATGTTTTTTTTTTTCCTTTTTTATCATTTAACTTATCTGTTTGCGTGTCTTTATTTTGTCTTTTTCTTCTTTTTTGTTAGTTTGTTAGTTTTCTTTTGTTGTTTATTTATGTAAGTGGAGTGGAGCTCTGTATAAACCCAGGTGGGTTTCGTTCCCCTCCTTGTACTGTATCTTTGTGTTTTCCGTGCAGAACAAACAAATAAATAAAAAATAAACAAAAGCACTAAACAGTAAGTAGGACATAAACGCAAGTGGTGTTTTTTAAAGTGTCCTGACGGCTGGCGATGACTGACAGGTGTGCATGATTAGAACTCAGGTGAGTGAGATTGCTGCTTGTGTGTGGATGGAGAACCTGGTGGGGGGAGGGACAATTTCACTATACCAATCTTTTTTAATGTCCAAACCAATGGGATTTGGATTTGCCATATAAATGCAGTCATAGCAGATGAGCTGCTCCACTTCAACATCGTCTTCTGATATTTCCTAACTTATTAATATTATAGTATTTATGAAAATAGTGAGCAGTAAACCATTGGATTTCAACCATTGGTTGATTATTATTATTGCATTACGACAAAGCGTATGCGACAATGCATTTTTTAGGGATGACCACACCACACAAAACATAGAATAAAAAAAATACAGATACCTTTTCTGAATCTGATGGTTCTCTTTGCTCCATCGCTGTTATTCAATGATTCTTTTCCACCCAAGTCAGCTGAAAAAACAAACAATAATGCAGATATGAGCTATCCCAGAAGAAATGACATTTGCAATCAAATTAATCTAACTTCACAGAAATGAACTGTTAAATGACAGTTCTAGAATCTATATTTATTCTAAAGTCCACAGCGGGATTCAGGGAAAAGCCATTGTAGACTTATTGTGTTTTTTTTTTCTAGTTCAGATCGTTTAAGAAACACATTGCACTTGGAAAAAAAAAATGGACATGCCTCCATTACAGGTGTTTTCTTTGTGAAAGCAGAACTTACGACAATGACCATTTAAAATGCTTTGAAACTGAATAATGTATTCATGCAAAGTTAAACTTTTTGTTGCACCTCAATCATCTACCTTGTTCTGAGCATGATCGGACATGTCCCCACCACTATATTGCCAGGGTTACATTAATACAATTAAAACCTCTCCAGTTAACTAGCTATAAATGATTCTGTTAAATTTTAACACATAATACTCAAGAAACCACAGCACTGTAAATTCTGGGCACAACTGGAGAATAACTGAAATGTTTTACAAGACGATTAAATAATGTATAAGCTTAAACGTTAGACTTACTTGCACTCTGGAAGTCTTCTAGAAGTTCGCTAGACTTCTAGGCGATCGTCATCTGGGGACTTGCTTGAGCGCACGAGAAAATTTTTAACTGATTTTCCAACAAATGTTAGATGGCTAGTACAGTTGCATGCATAATTCACGGGGCAGAGAATAAAACGTGTCCTGTTATTTATAAATGCTTTTAGACCTCTGATTTCGTGTTGCCTGTTCCAGCTATCTCTTTTAACACAGTAAGGAAGTTTTTTTTTACAGTAAGGAAGTAGATTGCCATGCTTTCGCGCGATAAACCACGCCCACACCCCATGCGTTTCAAATGATGGATGATTATTTTGTACTTAGCACTTGTATGTATATCATGTATTTCAAAAGCCTAATGCATCTCAGTTTAGTTAAAATTGGCCAGAGTAGCTAAAGCAAACAAGGATTGCAACTTGCTGGACATAAAGCAAATCTATAGATGTTCAACTTCATTTTCATGTTCATCTATTGAATAGTTCATGTTAACTATTCTGTCACAAGTCTTGATGTTTCTATTGGTCCATTATCATGCTGATACACTGAACCATTAGGTACATGGTCCTCCTATTCCGTAGTCCTTGGCAGTGACGCACCCATCAAGCAATGAATGCAATGATATTTCAGCCCAAACCTTCAATGTTCCAACTGAGAAGGGCCTGGTGTCAACCAGGCTACACAGTCACTGGAGAGTGTATGTGAGCATATTTTTTTAATTAATAGATTCTGCATTTTATATATTCAGTTTGACTTTTGTTTTTAAATACAGTATATAATCATTTATTGAATTTTTGTTTAATGAAATGTTTTATTTGATTTATTTATCTTTCAAGATTCAGGTTTCTTTTGGGAAAAAAAGGGAAAAAAAAGTCCTTAAATAATTAAGAAAAGAGAATCCTTCATTTCGCATAGGCCTACGAATATTTTTCTCAGCTTTCCATAGTGCCTGCTGTTCAAATTCATTGTCCAGTTTTTCTTTTTCTTTTTCAAAAGCTTCACCTTCCAGTTTAGCCCTCAGAGCTTCTGTTTTATTTTTTCTCTGCTCCTCATTCTGTTTCAGGATATTAATTTTTTCCTCCTCAATCGCTTTCTCTATTTCAATCATCTCACTGGTGTAATGCTGTCCATCATTTCCAGTAACTATTTTGTCAATCTTTTCAAACAACTGAATGACCTGTTCAGGATTTTGTTCTTTATTGTTGAACACATGGAATCTTCCACTGCAAGTTTTGATGAAACTGAGCAGTTTGGGGCTTTCCCGTACAAATGTATGAATGTTCTTGTCCTCCAGTCGATCTCCATGAGTGAACAGTGCCATGATGTAAGTGGAGGATTCCTCACCAAAAACTGCTTGAATGCTATTAACAGCTTCTGCCTCTTCATCTGTGAATCTGCCCAGCTGAATCACAACTAAGAAGACATGTGGACCAGGAGCAGAGAGTAAAATGCAATGCTTAATTCTGTTGACCGCTTCATCTGTATTTAAGCTGGTGTCAAACAGACCCGGGGTGTCAATAACTGATATATTTCTTCCATTGACTGTTGCATTATTTTTTTCACATTGCTTAGTCACAGAGGATGATGATATCTCAGATTTAAAAACCTGTTTTCCCAGGATGGTGTTGCCTGTTGCACTTCTTCCTGCCCCTGTCATTCCAACCAAAAGAATTCGGAGCGGTTCACCTGGATGATTATTAAGAATTACTTTCAATTTACAGTAGCCCTTATATACTATCTTTTTCATCAAAAAGGTATAAATAAAACTATGTATTTTATCAATCAATATTTTACGACCTGTATTTGAGATATTTAAAAAAAAAAAAAAAAAAAAAAAAAAAAAACAGTACCTAAACAACTTGAATTGGGGATTTGTTGATTTTGTTTGTTGTCAGGTATCTGAAAGTTGAACATAATATCATCATTTCACATAAACCCTAACGGTCAAAATAATTAAACTCAACGAATTAGTTCAGTCAAATTAATTTTTATGAGTATTTAGCACTTTCTTTTTCTTTCAAGTTCACACAACTGATATATTTTAAGTAAACTTTTATGAGTTTTATGAAATTATTTATTTTAATTTAGACGAACTTAAGTTTAACTGAAATGGCTGGGATACTATTTCCCAGCATGCTTTGCCGATGGCACGAAAGAGATTGCAAATGCTAAAGTTAAGTGCAATATAATGTTTTTTGTGTAAGATTAATAAGTGTGAGATTTAGTAGTGATTAATGTTTTGTTATGCTAATTTAGAAGAAGTTATGTTAATGTTTATGTCACACTTTAGATTAGGGTCAAATTCTCACTATTAATATTCTATTATCACACTCACGATTAACAACGACTTTTGCCTCAGTATGAGTAAACTCATAATTACTGCTTATTAATAGTTATGTATTGATAAGGGATGTAGAATATGGTCATACAGAATAAGGCATTAATCTGTGCTTTATAAATACTAATAAACAGCCAACATCAATATGCATAGTTACTAGTTAGTGAGAATTGGACTCTAAATTAAAGTGTTACGTATAATATTAATCAAATGCATAAACATATATGTGTATTTATGTCAAATATTAGATTTCATTACATTTATAAATTATATATGTATATAGACCAGATCTAATAAGTAAAAATGTTCCTCTCCACTTCCTGTGAATTGATGAAACATTGTTTCTTTGTTCGGTGCTCGTTGGACTGAAATTATAATGCTCCGTCATTTGAAATCTCACTTAAAATGGTGAAGATGTGTATCAAGGAAATGGAGCATACCCATAATTACTTGGTTTCTGGCTGTTTTAAATGCCATACATACCTGGGTTATTCCTACTGCAACAAGGATAACACATGCAATGCAAAAGAAGTACAAAAAAGTCAAGCCCCTTGACATTAACGTTGACATATTTGATATTTGTCCATTATAATTATCATTGTTGTCCATATCTGTTGGGAAAGTTAAGTAAAAAACAGTTATTAGCATTTGTTACAGAACTTATTATTCTTTGTTAACATTAGTTAAAAATACAACTGTTCATTCTTGTTTTTAAATATGAAAAGGAGTAAAAATCAGGCGTTTGATGAATTTTTTTATCAAACAAAAGCAATACCTTTAAAGTGGATTACAAAGCTTTCACTTATAGTCTATTTCAATTTCTTAACATAGGCAAACACCTACCCCATTTTGTTCATGCCTATTCCTTGTTTTCTTGTATTTTGTGCCCCTGTTAGTTAGCTTGCACAGGCTTTAAATCATTAAATATGTTTCACGAGTTCACACTTACATATAATTTTGAGTGAGTAAGATTCAATGCGTATTTGGCGTGCTGTCCGGAGGGAGGGCTCCGTGCTCGGAATTCTGCCCGAACCCAGAGTACTCCCCCCGTATGCAAGTGATTTTTTAGAAAGAGGAGTGTGCAGGACTAGGAGTGTGGAGAAGGGGTGGAGGAGGGATGCTGCAAACTGCCAATGGATCGAGGTAAGACTGCTGAGTCTATATATACCCTCTTATCATTGGTTGCTGATTGCTGATTGCCGTCCACTCGTGTTAATTATCTGAACGTGCTCCTCCCGAACTTAGTTATTAACAAAACTTCATTTCACGAGTTCACACTTACATATAATTTTGAGTGAGTAAGATTCAATGCGTATTTGGCGTGCTGTCCGGAGGGAGGGCTCCGTGCTCGGAATTCTGCCCGAACCCAGAGTACTCCCCCCAAAAGGCTAAAGAGCAGAGGACAGCCGCCGGACTTAAGACCCCCCAAAGAGTGCCAAGAAATGGCGGGCTGGCATCTCGAGAAGGGGCCTGGATGCTTGGTCAGGGAGGCCCGTGATGTTGGCTCACTGCCTGGACTGATGGCCCTTGTTGACTGCGTACAAGGTGTGGTTGTTGTATACTTGTCCAGGAGGTTTTCGCGCTGCATCCACTGCAAGACCAAATATTCGCTGAAATGAAAGAGAAAACATGAGTGCTCTACCTGGAACTTTCTCGCTCCGTCCGATGTGAGACCAATGCTCGCTGGACGGAAAGAGGAAACCTGAAAAGAGGAAAATGAGTGCTTATCCAGGAGATTTTCTCGTACTCTCGTCCACGGTGAGACCGAATGCTCACCGGATGAAAGAGAGAAAATTTAAGTGCTCTACTGGGAAAGCTCTCACTCCGTCCGCTGTGAGACCAATGCTCGCTGGACGGAAAGAGGAAACCTGACAAGAGGGGAAAATGAGTGTTTGCCCAGGAGATTTCTCGTATTCCATCCGCTGTGAGACCAGCTGCTCGCTGGATGAAAGAGAAAATTTTAAGTGCTCTACTGGGAAAGCTCTCACTCCGTCCGCTGTGAGACTAATGCTCGCTGGACGGAAAGAGGAAACCTGACAAGAGGGGAAAATGAGTGTTTGCCCAGGAAATTTTCTCATGTCCGTCCGCTGTGAGACCAACTGCTCGCTGGATGGAAGAGAAAATTTTAAGTGCTCTACTGGGAAAGCTCTCACTCCATCCGCTGTGAGACCGATGCTCGCTGGATGGAAGAAGGAAAACTGAAAAGTGGAAAAATTGAGTGCTTGCCCAGGAGATTTTTCTCACACTGCATCCGCTGTGAGACCAACTGCTCGCTGGATGAAGGAGAAAAATGTAAGGGCTCCTCTGGGAAAGCACTCACTCTGCTCATAAGTGATGGCGGTTTTTTGAGTGTCTAAGAAAAACGAAAAAGGGTAATTTAAACGTGGCATTGAGTGTGTGAGTGGAACCGAAGGGCTGGTAGCTTATGCGGAAAGCCGAATACATTTAATGAGAATTTCCAGTGTTATGGGGTGTCCGGAGTCGGGGGCGGGTGGGCTGGGATCTTTGGATCCCTTTAATCAGGGTTTGTGAATTGTTTAACTCCACAGAAGTAGTGCCGTACGACAGTTTATGGGAAAAACTGGATTGCCGCTCAAATAACCTTTAATAGGAGATAAAAGATTTGATTGGAAAGAGAAAAATCGGGGGAAGGCAAGTTATAAGAGACGTTATATTTATCGTTTCCTTTCTTTATGTTACCTCCGAGCGGTAATATAGGATTGAAGGGTCCTGGGAGATACCGCTTGGAGGATAAATTTTGATGCGTGCGACGTTAGCTTGGAGACCAAGCTTGCTGGACAGAGGAAATAATCAATTAAGGGTTTTAGCAGGAATAATAATTCTAAATGGTGATGTACTGGAGAGAAAACATCATTGTTATAGCAGTGTAGAAAATAAGCCAGAGGAACAGAGCTCCTGCGGGAGCAGAGAAGAGGTCACTGCTTGAGCAGTGTAGAAAATTATCCAGAGAAACAGAGCATCTGTGGGAGCAGAGGAGAACGTCACTGCTGTGGCGGTGTAGTAAATTAGCCAGAGAAACGGAGCTCCTGTGGGAGCAGAGTAGACATCATTGCTGTGACGGTGAAGAAAATTAGCCAGAGAAAAGAGTTTCAGATGGAGCAGAGGAGACGACACTGCTGTGGCAGTGTAGAAAGTTAGCCAGAGAAACAGGGCTCCAGTGGGAGCAGAGGGGACGTCACTGTTATAGCAGTGTAGAAAATAAGCCAGGGTAAGAGAGCTCCAGTGGGAGCAGAGTAGACATCACTGCTGGGGCCGAGTAAAAATTAGTCAGAGAAAGAGAGCTCCAGTGGGAGCAGAGTAGACATCACTGCTGTGTCAGTGTAGAAAAAATAGCCAGAGAAACAGAGCTCATATGAGAATTATTCAGAGAAACAGAGCTCCTGTAGGAGCAGATGAGACATCACTGCTGGGGCAGAGTAGAAAAATTAGCCAGAGAAACAGAGCTCCTGTGGGAGCAGATGAGACATCACTGCTGGGGCAGAGTAGAAAAATTAGCCAGAGAAACAGAGCTTCAGTGGGAGCAGATGAGACGTCACTGCTGGGGTAGAGTAGAAAAATTAGCCGAAAGAAACACGGCTCCTGTGGGAGCAGAGTAGACATCACTGCTGGGGCAGAGTAGAAAAGATTAGCCAGAGAAACAGAGCTCCTGTGGGAGCAGATGAGACATCACTGCTGGGGCAGAGTAGAAAATTAGCCGAAAAAAACACGGCTCTTGTGGGAGCAGATGAGACATCACTGCTGGGGCAGAGTATAAAAGATTGGCCAGAGAAACGGAGCTCCTGTGGGAGCAGAGTAGACATCACTGCTGGGGCAGAGTAGAAAAGATTAGCCAGAGAAACAGAGCTCCTGTGGGAGCAGATGAGACATCACTGCTGGGGCAGAGTAGAAAATTAGCCGAAAGAAACACGGCTCTTGTGGGAGCAGATGAGACATCACTGCTGGGGCAGAGTATAAAAGATTGGCCAGAGAAACAGAGCTCCTGTGGGGGCAGAGGAGACATCACTGCTGGGGCGGTGGAGAAAATTAGCCAGAGAAACAGAGCTCCAGTGGGAGCAGAGGAGACGTCACTGCTGGGGCAGTATAGAAAATAAGCCGGAGAAACAGAGCTTCAGTGGGAGCAGATGAGACATCACTGCTGGGGCGGAGTAGAAAAATTAGCCGAAAGAAACACGGCTCCTGTGGGAGCAGAGTAGACATCACTGCTGGGGCAGAGTAGAAAAGATTAGCCAGAGAAACGGAGCTCCTGTGGGAGCAGAGTAGACATCACTGCTGGGGCAGAGTAGAAAAATTAGTCAGAGAAACGGAGCTCCTGTGGGAGCAGAGTAGACATCACTGCTGGGGCAGAGTAGAAAAATTAGTCAGAGAAACGGAGCTCCTGTGGGAGCAGAGTAGACATCACTGCTGGGGCAGAGTAGAAAAATTAGTCAGAGAAACAGAGCTCCTGTGGGAGCAGATGAGAAATCACTGTTGGGGCAAAGTAGAAAAATTAGTCAGAGAAACAGAGCTTCTGTGGGAGCAGATGAGACATCACTGTTGGGGCAAAGTAGAAAAATTAGTCAGAGAAACAGAGCTCCTGTGGGAGCAGATGAGACACCACTGCTGGGGCAGAGTAGAAAAATTAGTCAGAGAAACGGAGCTCCTTTGGGAGCAGAGGAGACGTCACTGCTGGGGCGGTGGAGAAAATTAGCCAGAGAAACAGAGCTCCAGTGGGAGCAGAGGAGACGTCACTGCTGGGGCAGTATAGAAAATTAGCCGGAGAAACAGAGCTTCAGTGGGAGCAGAGTAGACGTCACTGCTGGGCAGTGGAGAAACGTACCTGTGCAAATGAGCTGTGGTGTGAAGCCGAGCAAAAGCGGGAAGTAGATTGGGGCCTGGCTGGCCGATTATCATCTTCTTGAGCGCAAACAAAGATGCGAAAAAGAGGGGAGATTTAATCTTTGCAGGATTATGCACATCTTTATTAACGTTTCAAAATGGCTTAGGGAACTTTCACCCTGGCAGTTATGTCCGTAACGGGGAATGGTTCGCATGAAAAATCGCTAATGTGAACGCCATTATGGGAACCGGGTGCGCACTGGGGTACCGGACCCGAGACTACCTGGAGGAGGTGGTGGTAGTACTGACTACCCAGCACGGACTCGGGTGCGCCCTTGTTCAGGAAATAAGGTATCCTGTGCATGCGTTTTAGCTTATTGTGATGTATTCAGTTAAATAAGTAAGGGGTGATAGTGTTGAGGAATTACCCTGGATACGAGCGAGAGTGAGCCTGCAGTGTATTCGAGCATTGTACGTGGAATCAGAGCAACATATTTGTAAATCCACTGTATTCTTAAGGGTTCGTTTGCAAGCAGCAGAAAACCACCTTATGCGACACACGTACAATAAACCTGTATTGTTCACTTAACTGCGCATAATAGAAGCAATTTTACTAAAAATAAATAAGTAAATACACAATATTTACCCACGTTCTGCTTTCCATCGAGCGCCGTGCACGTTTGCAATGACATAAGATGCACGCGAACGCACCAAGGTTCGATAGAATTAAATTGGGTGTGGAACCGGACCCACGCTGCGGGGGGCGTCGGGGACAAATGCGCTCGGACCGCTGCAAACACAGGATACAAACCATATATGGCATTTCACCGTAACAAGCCTAGTGTAAAAGCTCCGTTGTTTCTCATTTATTTATTTGTCATTTCTAAGGGTGGTTCCCTGCCGATTTGTTCGTTCTGGATTAGTAAACCAAATGGTGAAGCTGCGGGTTAGAATTGGTCTGAACTTCTGAAATCTTAAAAGAGGAGTCGATTCCTGTTAATGGAATCGATTCCTAGCTTTGGAATCGACTCTATATTCCTAACGCCTCGGATCGAGGAATCGATTCTTTTTGGGATCGAGGAATCAATTCTTTTAGAATCGATTCCCAGCCCTACTGTTTACGTGTGAGTTTTACGCCATAAAGAAGCATCGCGTTTAAGGAACGCAAATCATTGTACAGAAACTATTTATATCGATCACAATTAGTATCCGGATAGCGTAAATGCTCGACATTCAACGATTGAAGCGATGCGAAGTTCAATCAGGGACGCGAAAGTTTTCAGCTAAGCACTCACAGAGTTGACCCGGCAGATGTTTGAGAGTGTGGATCAGCCGGGACTGGATCTGCAGCGTGGCTTAACTTACTTACTGCCTGTTGCGACGGCCGACGCTGGAGGAATGTCCATTCCTTTGCGTTAAGATGGCAGCATTGCCTTGTCCATATCTCTATGGCAGGAATTATTGAATGGTCCGGTTTAAAGATACCGCGGAAGTAGATTGCGGATGTTTCGCCCGGGGTGGCGATGGCGCCGTTTGTTTGGCCTGACGCCCATGGGATGATACCGGGTTGCGGAAAAGATTCCTAATTCTGGACGAAAGATTCTCTATCAAAAACAGGAAGAGCTAGATTCGGACATGGCCAAATGCTGCAAACTGCCAATGGATCGAGGTAAGACTGCTGAGTCTATATATACCCTCTTATCATTGGTTGCTGATTGCTGATTGCCGTCCACTCGTGTTAATTATCTGAACGTGCTCCTCCCGAACTTAGTTATTAACAAAACTTCATTTCATGAATATTAATCTTTCTCTCACCTCTCAATTTGGAAGCAAATAATCCAGGTCCAGGTTCCAATTGCTAAACTGCATTCGTTTGTAGAAGAGTTTCGTTTTCTCTCTCCCTATATCGAAGGACCATAAACCAGCTAGACATGTTTTTATTCATGCATCACATCACATCCCACTCCACCCAGCTATCCGACTCCATGAACACTGCTCATTCTCCCCAGACCAATTACTCCCTCACACCTGCTCCTCATCAACCAGCAATCACAGACTATACAGACTTCTGAGGCAGCATACGGTTTATGATTTATAGAGTGAACTTTCGTAATAACTAAGAGAATATTTAATTAATATAATTTCTCACTAGAAATGACTTTAAAAGTGGAAAACATTGGTCAAAAACGTACGTATACACAGAAACTGACCACCAACAGAAATTTTCAGACACCTTATTCATTTTTAGCTTAGCTGTCAAGCAATGGAAAGCACAGGATTGTGGGATATCAAAGGCAACAAAAGATACATCTATGCTGTCTTTAAAAATCGGCCAGTTGAACATTATCTCTGGAGACGGGAAGCAAAACTAACATTGGATTCGGACGTGCCTTGACGTCTTCCTTTGTTGTCTGACTCAATTGAATGGTTTACTCAGCTGTGTTTTACTCAGAGGATTTTCTGTTGTTTCCTTATTCCTCTGTTACCTGTTGTGATTCCTCTGACATTCTCCTGATTTGCATTTTTCAAATCATTTCTGTTACCACGGTTTTCACCAACTGTACCAATAAACCTGGACTTGAGTTCATCTTCTCTTAATCTGTAATATTGTGATGACTGCCATCCATACAGGAAACAAAGCAGCACTGCTGATGCAATTGAGCTAGATGTTTTTGAAGTTTTATTTTATTTGTTATCATGAACTCTAAACAGTAATTTTTATCAAAGTATATAAATGTATAATGTACTATATTAATATAAATGTACTTTGTTAAGGTAAATACTTTAATTTTGTTATTTTTTAGAAACTGCCTTGATGATGATCACCTGAGATAAAATTCCACATAAACGTTTAATACTACATTTATGGAGTCAGTATGTAGTGCTGCTAATTGCCATTATGGCATAACATTTTTAGACTGATGTCTTTACTAAAGACTGCACAAATTAGAGCATGATTGCTTCCTTTTGTGCATTACAAGTGAACAAACCTCAGCAATTTGTATAAGACCTTTGGAGATGCATTTCTACTGAAATGTATTAAATGAAAATTAAATTAATACAAAAAATTAATATTTTTTTGTTTTTTTAAGCAAAAAAAAAGTTTGGGAACTGCTGTTTTAGAGCAACACCTGCAAGCAACCACTAGGTGTCGCCGTTGAGACAGGTTTCGAATTGATTCGAAGCCTCAACACAAAATGACACATTTGGTTCAATTGTTTCATTGCTTCACGAAGCCTCGATCTGCCCACCACTAGTTTCCCAAGTGTGGCATGTCGGACAGCCCCAGCAATAATACCCCATTACAGGCCTTTCTTGCGATTTCACCTTCGAGGGTCAGAGCTAGCAGTACACCTTCCTGCAGTTCGGTCTATCTTTAGCATCCCGTACTTTCACGAAGTGCATGGACACCGCGCTCACCCCTCTGAGACTTCAGGAGATGCAAATACTGAACTATCTGGATGACTGGCTTATTCTAGCCCAATCAGAAACAGAGCTGATAGCGCACAGGGCTTTATTGCTCAGCCATTTTGCGAAATTTAGGTCTCCAAGTCAACTGGACCAAGAGCTTGCTGTCTCCCAGCCAGAAAATTTCCTTTATAGGGACAGACTTAGACTCCGTGTCATTGGCAGCACGGCTGGCATCACAGCGAGCGCTCAGCGGCATCCATCAAGGTCGGCAGTGCTTTCCCTCTCAATTATCAGAGGATGCTTGGCCTTATGGCCTCGGCCTCAGCAGTGTTTCGGTTGGGGTTGCTTCGCATGCCCCCTCTCCAGCGCTGGCTGAAAACATGAGTTCCGCTGCGAGTCTTCCAGTCGTTTTCGCCTCAGGGTGACCCAGAACTGTATTACAGCACTGAAACCCTGGTGTCAGACTGGTACCAATAAGGTCTCGATCTGGGAACGATCTCGTCATGAAAACTTTTTCTTCTAAAGTGTTTGAAAACTCAGAAGCTGAGACCAGGAGACTCGGAAGAGTCTTTTTAAGCAGGGTTCTTTATTGCTGTTGCATTGCTGTAGTCTGTTTCATACAAAAAACTTAGCCAAGTCTGACTAAACTAAAATACAGACTGTTCATGTTCCTTACAAGAGGGAGGAGTTAAATAAAGGTGGAGACACTCTGAAACAAAGCATGTAAATAAAGCACACTCAGTTACCGGAAATTCCCCGGCCCTAATCTCATCAGCATCATATAATCCACCTAATCCAATCAGCATAACTATTCAAACTGAGCCAGGGTCTCCCAGAGCCATTAAAGACAAAGAGTATCAGTAATATGACCAGGACTGGCAGAATCTCTTGCTCACCTCAAATGTTAAATTCAGTCTACTAGACTTTCTCAGTTTATATACTATTGTACTGGAATCTATATTAAACATGTAATACATTTATAACACTACAAAGTAGACATCCTATTCATAAGTAGTAAGGGAAGTTTGGCAGATTTTTCTATGAATTCAACCTCTAAGAAACACATCCAAAGAACACGCATACGCATTATAGCTGGCTGCCACATCACAAATGGTGAATTTTTTTCTTTATATTTAAAACATTTTCAGACCTTTATTCCTAAAACAATTGAATGGATGCTATCTTTTGAACTCTTGGCATGAAAACAAACTGAGGTTTCTACCATTTTTTTCCTGATTTTTCATGTTCATTGCTTTTTCAATATAAAGGTCTCAACTCGCCTTAGGAGTATGAAAATATTCTTGTTGCAAATTGATAAATTACGGCTCCTCTGTAATTTATCTTGAAAACGAAAAATGGAAACTAGAGATTGTAAGCTTTCAAATGATATATAGTTTGTCAATACTACTTAAGGTTTTTACTAAGATATCATTGTTTTAAATATGTAATCCTTAAGTTTAGCCTTCAGAGCTTCCAACTCCCTCAGTCTCTGCTCCTCTGTCTCCTTCAGGATACGTTGTTTCTCTTCCTCAACTGCTCTCTCTGCCCTTTCAAGCATCTCACTGGTGTAATGCTGTCCACCATTTCCAGTGACCATTTTATCAATCTGGTCGAGCAACTGAATGACCTGTTCGGGATTTTGTTCTTTATTGTTGAACACGTGGTATCGTCCACGGCAAGTTCTGATGAATCTGAGCAGTTTTGGACTGTTCCGTACAAATGTGTGAATGTTGTTGTCCTCCAAACGATCCCCATGAGTGAACAGTGCCATGGTGTAAGTGGAGGATTCCTCACCAAAAACTTCTTGAATGATTCTAACAGCTTCTGCCTCTTCATCTGTGAATCTGCCCAGCTGAATCACAACCAAGAAGACATGTGGACCAGGAACAGAGAGTGGAATACAGAGTTTAATTCTGTCAATGACCTCATCTTTAGTTAGGCTGGTGTCAAACAGACCCGGAGAGTCAATGACAGACACGTTTCTGCCATTTATTAAAGCATCAAACTTTTCACAATGCCCAGTCACAGAGGAGGAGGATATCTGTGATTCAAAAAGATTTTGTCCCAGTATAGTGTTGCCTGTTGCACTTTTCCCCACTCCTGTTTTTCCAACCAGAAGAATCCGAAGTGGATCTCCTGTCTTATACACTTTAGAAAAGAATATGAAAAATACTTCAAGTAATTAAAAAAATAAGTCATAATGCAACATTTACACAATATTTTTGGGCCACTGTTTTGGAGGGGGGGTGGAGACTTACCTGTATCATCCGAATCCTGAACTGAGACATTTTGATGATTTTGTTGCCAAAACATCTGGAATTTATAAATGCAATGTCAAATATTTAACCACATTTCCTCATTTAAAATAATGTATTGTCTTTAATCACTGTGCTAATACCAGTGCACCAAGTAATCTCTTTCTTGATTGTTTAACTATAACTAAATAAGTGTTACAATATGTGCTAGCTGTTTTATTTTAATTTAATTTGTTGTTTGAGAAATAAACATTTGTTTGTATGAATTTACTGAATTTGTTACTGAATACCAAGTTTGTCGATTGAACAATTTCATTAGAAGTTGTAATAAATAAAAAAGATACATGAAAAACCAAAACATTTTTAGAGAGTGTGAATTTTAAAATACATACCTGCAACGCCATTGCAAGAGAGATACCAACTATGCCAATAACTACAAGATTAATGAAGGGAGGTGGGACCCATGAGTTTGAGGTCTTTGTTGGTTTCGAAGGAGAATTTGCAGTGTCCTCCATAACTAGGAGAATGAAAAAGTGAGGTCAGAAATATTGTTCTTGCTATACAATCCTAAGATATGAGTAAAACCAAGCATGGGTTTTCACCAGGTCAATGGGGTCAGTGCCCTACATGGGGCTTCAAGTTTTGATTTCTGCCATAGGATCAGAAAAGGCCACTTCAGATGTAATCTTGATATAAACATTCAACAAGCACTTCAGTGTCTGCTGGCACAGTGTTTGAAATAAAAAAAAGTGCAATATAACGTGTTCCTAGCCCCTCCACACTGATAGTGTCTTGAACACCTTATAACTTTGAGATTACCAGTCAATACACAAATGATTTGTAAATGTAAGTTTCGATTAAAAGAACTATGTTGTCTCAAAGGGTTAGTTCACCCAAAACTGAAAATTCTGTCGTTAATTATTCACCCTCATGTCATTCCGTAAGACTTTGTTCATCTTCAGGACACAAATTAAGATATTTTTGATGAAATACGAGACAATGCGCACAAAATGTATTCTCGTAGCTTCATAACATTAGGGTTGAACCATTTTTATTTAGTTACATGGACTTTAACAATGTCTTTACTACCTTTCAGGGTCCTGAAAGTAGCGTTGGGTCCGAGTCCACCTTTGTTGAGTCCTATCTATGGACTCTGTTGGGTCGGAGTCCATCATTTCATTTAGAAAAGTTTAAACCCTCTGGCTCTTAATTGATGTTTCCTCCTCGAGCGTCCCGATTGCTGAGAATGGGCAGCGCTTTGTTATCACTTTGTGATTCACAAGCGGCGCCGTGTGAAGTGCGTCTATGTGTGAGCGTGTGCACTTGTGAGCATGCACGGGACTCATAATCATAGTCTGACCGGCATGAAAAGGCACTTTGTGTTGTGTGTTTAACACTATGGCGGATCACTCCTCCATAGGCTTCTTAAGGGATCGAAACTGGCCAGCCCAAAAGTTATGAAAGACATCGTTAAAATAGTCAGAGTGACAACAGTGGCTCAACCTTAAGTTAATCAAGAGATGAGAATACTTTTTTTGTGCAAAAAAACAAACAAAAATATCAACTTTATTCAACTATTCATTTCCTTCTCTGTGGGCCTCGAGATTTCACGTGTGAAACTACGCAAAGCATCTAGGTTGTGCGTCACACGCATCACATACATGACCAGCGTCGGCCAATAGAGGGTCTACATGTAACGTGCAACACAGAAGCTTTGCGCAATATCACTATGTGTAATCTCACGGCCCACAACAGAACCGGAAGACATAAAATTCAGAATAAAGTCGTAGTATTTGTTATTTTTGGACCAAAATGTAGTTTCAATGCTTCAAAACATTCTAACTAACCCACTGATGTCTCATGGACTACTTTGATGATGTCTTTATTTCCTTCCTGGACAAGGACAGTATACTGTACATACATTTTCAATGGAGGGACAGAAAGGTCTCAGACTAAATCTAAAATATCTTAAATGAGGGTGAGTCATTAATGTCAGAATGGTGTAAAGGAGGGCTTTATAGGGAAAAGGACAGGTAGGAGGCAGCATTTATTTGCACTTAGAGTAAATAGCATCCATCTATCACTATTTGCACTTTTCATTAGTTCAACATAGGAAGAGTTTTATTTACATAGGTTCCCAGCCCTCTTTTCAAATAATGATCCACTAACTTGGTAAATGAGGGGACATGTTCAGTTTATTTAGACGTATCGTGCCCAAAAGATCGAGGTAACCTCATCCTTATGTTGAGGTCCCTCAAAATACACAGTATGTCATATATTTTTTCAATATGTCAGTCCCTCAAAATAGGATCTCGAGGCAACGACATCCTTATTGTTGTGGTCATGTCAAGTCGTGTCCTCGAGATCCTATTTTGAGAGAATGACATATTTTTTACATGGCCACAAGTTTAATGTGTAAAAAAAAAAAACCTGTATGACCACAGCAACCTGGGATTACAGAAATGGATATTACTAATAAATTAATTATTTCTTTTGAATCAAGGATGACAAAAAGTGCGTAATTAAGAAATATTCAAACTATAAAGCCTTAATAGCAATAACGGTGCAGGTATGACGTCATGTTGTAGGCAAACCGGCAGTCAGCGTCACACTGGCTCCCTCGACAAAAATCCAATAAGATTTTTCCATAAGCTTTTGGATTTTGCAAAAAAACAAGCTCTATGTTAAACTAAAGTTTATGATACTTACACGTTTTTTCCATCAAGATAATTTTCAAAGATGAACACAAATTTTATAGTTGCCAGATATAAAAAGTTAAGGTCCTAATACCGTGGTCCTAGGACTTCAACGTCACCATCACTAAGCTTCTGACATCTCTTTCAGAATTTCCCACGCTTAATTTACAACTCTGTTTATGATACAAAGTGTATGATGCTGGAGTTATCACATTGGAGTTTTGACTCATTGAATACTTGTAGCTACCTTAAGCTGACTGTTTATTTAACACGGTTGTAATTAGGGGCCAAGCACCGAAGGTGCGGAGGCACCTATTGTATCTGTGCCGGTTCTTATTATTAGGGGCCAAGCACCGAAGGTGCGGAGGCACCTATTGTATCTGTGCCGGTTCTTATTAGGGGCCAAGCACCGAAGGTGCGGAGGCACCTATTGTATCTGTGCCGGTTCTTATTATTATTATTATTATTATTCTTCTTCCGACTGGGCGTCTATGGCAGCCCATAGACCGGTTTGCGGGAAAGTTGTTTTGGTTTGACATTCTGATAGAGGACAGTCCCAACTTTAAATACACCAATTTTGGTGTCTCTAACTCATTCCCTCTAGCGCCACCAACTGTCCAAAGTTTCACTTTTATTATGCTAATAACTTTTGAACCGTAAGGCCTATCAACAAAATTCTTTTTTCCTCTTGTTCCTGAGCTCATGCCGATTCGATCGCACCCTATGACGTCATTTTCCGTCATAAAAAAACGGCCGCCATTTTGAATTTTCCAAAAAAACTACTTTTGCGAACTCGTCCTAGACGGTTTGTCCGATTTTCACCAAAATCGCACCGGATCATCTCCAGGCAGTGCTGACAAAAAGTTATGGAATTCAAGATGATTCGAATAACCGTTTTCGATAAACGCGTAAACAAAATTTACGTAGCGCTTGCGAAAACAGACGTGAGGTTGTATCTCCGCAACGCTTACTCGTTTTCACACCAAACTTGGTACGTGTTATCACAAGCATGACCTGAGGCTACGTGCTGCGTTTCGGCGCAGCGCCACCTAGTGGTCCGGAGATATGAAAAATGGCTATTTTTGCTCGTAACTTCTGAACGGTTTCTCCAAAAATCAAAAACTTGGTCTCGTTAGATTCAGGGCGTCATGCCGAGTCGACCGATATCCAATTTTCCCAGATCGGCCATTTTGGCTGTCGGCCATTTTGAATTATGTGCTAAAATGCTGTATTTTTTGAACGCATGAACGAATTGTTACGAAACTCGTTATGGGTCATCAGTACGATGCCCTGAAGGAGCCTGAGAAGTTTCGAAACAGCGCCACCTAGTGGTGAATTGTTTTATTCAAACGCTTATAACTTTGGGTGTGGTACACTTATTTTCACGGGAGTCATATTTTTGAGGTCCTGAATCGTTGCCGAGTCCAACGATACCAAATATGTCGGGTTTCGTCTCACGGATGGCGTAGCGTAGCGATTTAGCGCGAAAAAAACACTTGGCGATATCTTCAAAACCGCTGTTCCGATCGAGACGAAACCACCGCCAGAAACACGGAATCATAGCTTGTTAACTATACGCTAATGCCCAAATGCGTAAATATTGATAGTAAGGGGTAGTAAAATTCAAACAAAGTCATGTGTCAGTCATTTTTTACGTGTTTTTTCATATAAATGTTTATAACTCGGAAGTAAATTGAGATATTTGCACCAAAATTGACACACATATGTATGGGGTCACTCTGAGGACACATAAAAAAAATTGTGGGACTGAGCCTCTTGGTGGCGCTATAATAGAACAAAACGTGAAATTCCCATTGACTTCAATACAGTTTTGTGAAATACAATGCTATACTAAACAAATGCTTTGGTCTAACATTACGAAAACTCAGTGTGTGCCATAAGCAGCATGCCCTGAAGGTACTCAAAAGATTTTGAGACAGCGCCACCTGTTGGTCAAAAGTTATAATTAATTTCTGAGAACGCTAATAACTTTTGAATAAATTTGCCTATTGCAATGAAACTGATCTTAATAGATTCCTTGGGTTATGCCGAAAACATAGATATCAGGTTTTGCATAATCAGCCAAACTTCCTGTCCGCCATCTTTATTTCTTTGAAAAGCCTTCTTTTTCGAACTCCTCCTAGACCGTTTGTCCGATTTTCACGAAAATTGAATCGCATCATCTCCAGACCGTGCCGACTAAAAGTTATGAATTGCACGATGATAGACAAAACCGTTTTCGTATACCACAGCATCAAAGTTTAGGCATGCTGCCAAAATTACTATTTAGGCTTTATCTCTGCAATGCCTTCACATTTTGACACCAAACTTTGCATGTGTCATTGTCACCTCACTCTGACCACATCACATCTATTTCGTAACTGCGCCACCTATTGTTCGAAAGTGATAACCCATTAAATCATCTTATAAGTTAATGTTTATGTGATTTTTTTAGCCATTTGCCCAAAGTTCTCTCAAAATGCCCTTAATTGCTCCTTGCTGCAGTTGGTCTGCCACTCCTTGCCATTTTGGCATATGTTGCCGCTTCTTGCGCTTGGCCCCGGTAATGGCTGCTTGCAGCTATATTTATTATTATTATTCTTCTTCCGACTGGGCGTCTATGGCAGCCCATAGACCGGTTTGCGGGAAAGTTGTTTTGGTTTGACATTCTGATAGAGGACAGTCCCAACTTTAAATACACCAATTTTGGTGTCTCTAACTCATTCCCTCTAGCGCCACCAACTGTCCAAAGTTTCACTTTTATTATGCTAATAACTTTTGAACCGTAAGGCCTATCAACAAAATTCTTTTTTCCTCTTGTT